GTAATGCAGTCATGTTGTCTACACCATGAGCCACTATATCTGATGACGTATCCCAAATAAGGTAAACTTTGACCATCTGCACATTCTATCTCAAGAATTGTCTTAAGTGGATGAAGCAGAAAATGACGGAAGTGTGAATTGTAATGACTTTCACTAATAGTGGAAACTGTAGAGCCTGTGTCTAACAAAGCCTTACTATAAACTCCCTCAACAGAAATGCTCCCTTCAGTTGGCTCTCCACAAAGACCTGTTGGCAAACCAAGACCTGGTGGGGACAGTGATTTACTATGTGGGTTTACGGACGTCCCCTTCTCATAAACCCTCTCCTGTTTAAACCTCTTCCCCTGAAATGATCCAAGTTCACACTGCACCCATACTGCACATGACCATATTGTCCACAACGATAACACTTAACACCCTGATCATCATCCTCAACAACATCACCCTGAACAGTAACAGTGCCTGTATATTGTTGTGAAGAATAACTTCGACCCTGAGACCAACGACCTTGTGACCTAGAACTGGGTTTACCTGAAGTGGAAACATAATCATGCAGTGATTAAACCTCAGCAGCAAGTTGTTTCACAACACCATCAAGTTCGGCAGTGTCTGAAGATGTAGCAGCTTTAGCAGTTTGCTTTACTTTAGGAATGTCAGTGTTAACCATCGTGGAGGAGCGTGCTTCGTTGATACATCGCATCTCGGCTCTCAAATCATCAAAAGATTTAACTGAATCAAACATATGACCAGAAGCATCTTTAAGAGGTTGCAACATACCCTCCCAAAATACAGAGCATAGTGCTTCTTGACTTATGCAATGCACCAGCCACGATGGCTCGAGCATACAGCTCTTCCACACGACAACCCCATTCCTGAACAGACTCTCCCTCCCTCTGTTTTGCACTATAAAAGGCACCAACCAAAGAGGTTTTCTCTTGTACAGTCCTGTATATACTGTGAACCTTTGACAACAGCTCATCCACACTGGAATCAGTACTCATACAAAGCATGATATTACTCGCTTTCCCTTTTAGCGACCAAATGATAGCATTCTTAAGTACAGAAGGAGAATACTATTTGTCATGTAATAACCGATCAACTTCATACCGCCAAACAGCATACGATACCTCACCCTTGCCTGTCTCACCCATAAAAGTCGAGATCTTAGGCGGCTGGTTAACTGTGATAGAAGGGACTACTGATGCTGATGGAGCAGGAGACTCTCCCTGAGCTGCCAGATAATCTGTCATCCAACGTTTAAACACATCAAGATTATCAGCCTTAGGCTTAATACCCATCTCCTCTATGGTTTTTACTAGAATTTTAACATCTTCCTCTTCCATTGATGCCATGTTTCTAGACCACACACCAGACCCTAGCCAAAATATTGCAGCAAGGAAGACCAGAATAATACTAAACCCCATGAAGTTACCCAAAAACCTAAGCAATACCTAAGTCTAATTGTTACTTTAAGTGATAACCTACATCTTGAGTGTCAACCTTGTCTACACACTAGAAGTACTAGCAAGTGGCAGTGTCTAGAAAAATGTATGGTGCAAATCAGTCAAGCACGTCAAAGTAGTGTCTTAGTCTGGATTTTTGTCTAAAATGAGTGACACAGGTTTCACATGACAACAACTTAAAATATAATAAAATCAAAGGCAAAAACACATCAATACATACAGCCTCAAAATGCAATCAATTCAGGAAATCACATACAGCATATCACTAATACATGAATAAAATTCGGTACAAGGCTACATACCTGAAACAGTCAGGAGCAATAAATAGCTCACAGGCATAACATGTCGGTAGCCTGGAAACTTACTGTCTCTCTCCCAAACAATGTATTCAGAAATACAACTGAATTAAAGGGAGTACGGTTGGCAATCACATTATCACAAGTTCATGGTTATGTCATGGTCAGTCTCACAGTCTCTGGTGGTAGTTCACATGGTGATTCTGAAGCGGTGGTCCAGGGTGGTTGACAAGGTGCTCACAGCTCACAACATTCCTCACTGGGGCTCCAAATTTGTAACGGGGATGGCTCTGACTCAACAACACAACTCCGTTGAGGCTGTAGTCCAGATTTATTACGGTAGTTTGTATAAATAATACAAGTCTGAAACAATGTATATGAATATATAACACTCCATCAAAATACCTATTTTATCACATTCATTTCATTGCACATTGTTCAGATAATTAACAATCACAGCACTACCACTGAACATATAAAAAGAACTCAAAACAAATTGACATCACAAAATCAATGGTTCAGTTTCATATTAAGATCCTTAGGAATTATGGAACACATTTGGCATCTTCAAAACAACAATGAAACATCAACGTGTCTTACCATCTATGGGACAACTTGTTTCAAACTGGCCACATGTTGTGAGGCACCAACAAAACACCAAGGACCTAAAATATGTATGTTTTAATTAGCATGGAAATGCTAATTCTCACCAGTAAAGTAAACATACAATCTGTTTGGACTCAAACATTAATCTGAATCAATTGTAAGTGAAATTATTGACACCCACAATTTCTAACCATAGGTCAAAATATACCTCCACCAAATGCATAAATTCAGTTACAATAAATACTGAATTAACCTTTCAACAATTAAACATATTTTTGTAGTTTATTCCTTTTATATAAAACCAAGTGTAACTAACCTGTAATTCACCAAAGTCAAAATCCTCCATCCATGACTTTCAAACCACCTTGCCAGGTTGGGAGAAAGACAGCAAGTGAACAAACTTCACACTTTCCAAATGCAACTAAATTCAACATCCAATCACACAAGATGCTGCACATCTTCAGCCAATAAAAACCAAGGACAAGACAGCAGACCTGACCTCATTAAGACTTGGCTAATTTGCATAGGAACTACTTTCAACCCATGACCCAGTGGTGACTATAAATAAATCATGGACTTGTGAAAATGTAAACCTTTTCACTGACAATTGTATTATTGTTTAAGGTGTTATGAATTGATTCCAAACAGGAACATAAGACAAGACATGTTAAAATAGATTGCTTTTCCAGAACATTTTACAATTTGTATATTTTGTACTTGTTACACACTTGTATTTGTTACACACTTGTTTTGTACTTGTTACAACTGCTATTTCGTGTATTGTGCCCAGTCAAACTATATCGTATCGTCGGAGGTGAAGAAACAAACTTTGCAAATGAAAATAGATATGTGAATAGGAAACCTGCAATCAAACATCACAACACATGGTAATTCAGTTTTCCTTCCCGTTATGCTACCTGTTATTCATCTAAGCCGGAAATAGCAATCCGCTGTGTACTAATGTTTTGCTCCAATCTACCGATGATTCAGTTAAAAACGAACTGAAAATATAACATCAAAAGAATTTGTTCCATTACCGGAATAATTTATATCTCAAGCAGTTATTTTAATAGAGATAATATATATTGCTATCGTATTAGTATTATGCATGTTTTCTACGAACATATTTAAAATAATAATTAACATAGGCTCAGCACTTACGTGCCTAGAAACATTTTACGTATGAGACAGTTTGACAAGTCACCGTTGACTTCCCACGGAGCATGCCACTTTGATTGTAAAAACAAAATGTTGGCAATTAATTGTGAAACATGACTTCAGTGAGTCAATAACGCGGGTCTAGGGGTATATGGATGACGAGGCGGTGATCAGTTCGTGATTGCTGACAATAATGTGAAATTGGTGCTATCGCGGTAGGCGCAAAAAGCGGACCCTCATGAACATGGTAAGCGGAAGTGGTTTGCGTATAGAATGAGGTGATGCCATTTCACACGCGTTTTCTCCGATGTTACTGTAAACAGTGTGTTTTTTCTGAATGAAAATGGCATTAAATTTAATAAAATTAAAATGAGATCGAAGAGGATAGTATTTATTATGAGTTTTACATCATACGTTTTCGGATGGCATGTTTACTCGAGCTATATAACGCGGTGTGTTGCATCAGAGCAAACATGGTGATAGCTTAGATACATAGCATTCACTGACTTCATGTCAGTGAACGCTTTGTATCTTAGCTAACATGGTGAGTACTTGGCTGATGGTATGTCTTTATGATAAAGTCGTCTTTTATAAGTTATTACGATGTTCGTCTGATTTGAAATAACTGAAAAAGAAACAGAACCCAGCTACTGATCTGGTATCTGCATTTGCTGACTTTGTAAGTAGATGACTTGAGGCGATCTCGAACTTACTTCCAGGAAAATAGCGGCTGTCCAGCAGAGAAATGCATAGATTTTTATGAAATGATTCGATTTCATGACGTTTTAGAAAAGGTTTAAAAAGGTGAATAAAATGACGGTACAAACACCGAAAATTCCGAATTTTTGGATTGCATTACGTTATACCGAACCGAAGGCAAAATACCGCGGTATACCGTTTCACCCCTAGAATTCAACAATTCACATTGTTTCCCAAAGTACCCAGCCTAATACTGCAGTTTCTGAAGCTGAGTCAGATGTTGCTTATATTAGAATGAAGATGAGTAGAATATAGAATACTTGTAACAGGAATCATGTTCTGGATAGAATCTTGGCAAAAAAGGTTTAGAACCATTTGAATACATCACTGCTTTTAGGAGTGATCTTTTCAACAGGAACCTTGCTCTTTAAGCCGCGGATCTTGGCACTAAGCTAGCATTAATGAATGGTGATCTTGTGCTAAACTTACTTTTTGGAAAGTTCAGCATCAGGCCCCAGTTTATCCTAACAACCTTAATACACAACATTCCACCAAATGCATAAGTGTGTGAGTGAGAATTGCTTAACGCAGCATCAGCAGTTTTGCAGCTATTTGCAGCAACCAAATGCTTGAAACAAGATGCTTTCAGTGATGAACTGACAAAAGATTCCCAAATTACAATGACAATGCTTTTGACAATACAGAAACGTCATTTGGACATTTGTATAAACAATAATTAGAAGTAACACATTCTTGCATCCCATTTATGCCCTTTCAGATGTAATGGCCTGGAGGAGGTCGAAGATGAGGGGGAGGATGTGGAGCTTGTCAGGGGAGATACCTCATCAATCACCATCTCATTCACAGCATTCCAGATCATCAGCTTAATTGTGAAGTTTTAGTTTTAATAACAAGAATGGGCGGTGTCCTCCCATTACGCAGACAGGCAGTTCGCAGACGCCTTAAAACAACAATATTTACGGTTCAATGAACAGATTAGCTACTACCCGTTACCTACACATTATAATGGAATAGTCCAAATAAGAACGCAAGAAGAAAACTGAAGCTGTATTATTTACTTTGAAAGATGGCCAAAAAGACATTTGAATTTTGAATGCTGCTGCTGCTAAAAAACAAAACAAACAAACTTGATTTTCATAAACATTCTGCTTTAACCTTCTCGTCTAACGGTAGTTGAGATAATCATATTGAAAACATTGTCAAATTGACATCTAAACTGATTGGAGCATTTCAGACATTAAAGTTCCGCAGTTTTTCTTCAGGATTTACTCCCACCTGTAGTAGGCAACCAGATAAGTTATGAATTAAGAAACTCCAATAATTTTAGGCAACCATGTACAAGACTGAGGTACTCAACATCATCTTTTATTCCATCAGCAGTTAAAATATGGAATAATAATCTGATAGCTATTAGGAATTGCAACTCTGTTGCATCATTTGAATCTAATATCCACATGAAAGAAAAGTGTGCACCTAAATATTATTCATATGGAATAAAGAAGTTAAATGTTTTGCACACAAGATTACGATATATATGACAAGTACAGTTAATTATGATTTATTTAGAATAAATATAAAAAGTGACACATCATGTCAATGTGGCCATGGATGTGAGAATGTTTTTCATTACTTCCTTGAATGTCCATTGTTTACTAATAAAAGTAAACTGTTAAAATCTTTAGAAAGTATCGTTAAAATTAGAACATTGACTGGTCTTAATCTTATCTTTCATGGCAATGCAGGTCTCTCATTAACTGAAAAGCAGAATATGTACATATCTCTCTGCCATTTATCTATACAGTATATATGTCTCAAACAAAAGTGCCCAGTTAACTTAACATATCCTATTTTTGGGAGAGGGCTTTTCTTAGTTGGATAAGTTGTGCCCAAACCTTTTCTTGAATGCACAAAATGTTTTAATAAATAAACACAATCAAACCTCTCATTGACAAACCTGTTTTTATATTCGATAATAATTGATAGTAAAAATAATTTTGAGAAGAGAAGAGAGATTATCATTTAATCACAACAAGGTTCTATTTACACACAATCAAACTTCTCAGTAACGAACCTCTTTCACGCTCACCCTACTCTACTCACTGAACAGTGGACTGTTCCATTATACCCGTAGGTGTAACCCGAATTAACCTTCTAGTTCAGTGTCTGTCAACTGGGTGTCTGTCAATTGGGAGATACTGGTCTCACAAAGTATCGCTGGTTCCCCTTGCTCCACATCTGGGACAAGAGGTTGTCTGGCAACGTTTTAGTGATACACAGGTTCTAGATGAAGTCGTTGGACAATCAGATCCTGCTTTAGTTGTGCTTTCTGCAGAAAGATTTGATTGTAGCCTTATATGCCATGGAGACTTAGTATTACTCGGTTTCTATATCTGGAACATTATATTTAAATCAGAATCACTAAAGGTATATTTGCTCATATTTAAACAGTGCACTTAGTGTTCATTATGTCAATCTTAGTAAGGCTCTATCAATGAATTTCTTATTTTTCAGTTAGTCCTCTATTAAATGCAAAATAGCCATAATTATGTGCTCAATTAGAAATGTTTTTGAGGTTATTGTTAAAATATGTTAAAGTTTGTTTTCTTGTTGAAGGTGTTGCGAAGGCATATTATTGATCTTTGCTTAACCATGACTAACCAAGAAGAAACCTGAGGCAGCGGAGAGACTGGAATGTCTTTGAATACATAGCAGTTACTATTTTCTGATGAAAACACTGTCCATAACACTGACCATATAGTTATTATTTTGAAGATTTACTTGTTAAGTATCTGTATGAATATTTCCTGTTGACAGTGCAGTGCAGTTGATGTTTAACATGAAGATGAATAATCACCTCAAGCCTTTATTTTGAGCAAGATCTGTACTTGTATACTCAAAACAATCTATATTATATTTTACATTAGCATGCATTATATAATAAAATCACTGAGCTGGCTTAAACTTGTATTTTCTTGTTTTTCTTGCACATTTGTTCAAAGGATGTTACTTGTAGTTTCTTAGAATTTTTAAGGCTGTTAATCTGACTTAATCCGTCAAACAAAAAAATAGTGCCATTTTGTATTCTTTTGAGTACATGTTGCTGCAGATTCTACAGAATCTCACAATCTATAGTGGCATTATATACACGTGAAAAAAAATTAAGCACCCCTGAATATCTTGACGCTAAAAGAAGCATGGTTAAGTTCACGGTTCCCAATTGCGCAGATCGATGCTCATGCTGTTGGTCACTGGATTGTCAGGTCCAGACTCGATTATTTACAGAGCGCCGCCATATAGCTGGAATATTGCTGATTGCAGCGTAAAACTAAACTCACTCACTCAGCTTCTGTATGATGATAGGTGTGATAATAATGTTCTTTTGAATTATTGCTGTATTAAATCTACAGGGGTTACAATCAGTGTGTGAAATAGCCACTGGCCCGCTAGCCCATGGCTAGTACAAATCCAGTCGGGCTTGTAAATCTCCAGAGTCACTGGCCCGACTGGCTAGTGAATTTTCATGGGGTCATTTTGTAATTATGTCACTCTCCGACTTGTTCAGTTCTAATACACTTTTAAGTCATGCGAGATTATGGCCTGATAAAAATGTTCATCATATTAGCAGCTTAATGATGAAACCTGTCTACATTTAAATTTTGGGGTAGAGAATTATTTTAAGGGCTAGTAACTTTCAGGCATAGCTAGCCTAACTGGCAAGCAAAATTTGGAAACTATTTCGCACATTAGTTACAATGTTCAATAGTTTTTCTGCCACTATGGTATGAAGAAGATTATCAGACGGCCAGAGATAGAAAATTATTGGTATGCATAATTCTGATATAAAATTTCTGAATTTGTCGTATCCAAGCTGGTAACATTTGAAACTGACTACTGTCTATCAAGTTATTTACTATCAAAAGTTGAACTCATTAATATCGGATGAATCCGCCTCTATTCTCAAGAAAAAGGTTGACGAGACATACCGTCCAAACCGTCCAATGTCATCTTTAGTCATAGCATCAAATCCCGCAAACGGCATGAAAACGCTCATTCCGTCTACGCTAACTCTTTGCCCAGCCACGATTGGTTCAGCGGTGCTGCCCTTGCCACCACCAGCGGCGTCTTACAGTAATGTGATGGTCTGCTCACTAGTGGAATAACACGTGGACATAGGGAATGCAGGTCCCAGGGGCGTAGCTACCATTATAAATGGAAAGCCCGGGCTTACACATGATTGTTGCTGAAATGGTTGGGCAAGCCCTCAATACTATCTAAATATAAAGCTTTGCAACCTATCGGGCTTACACGAAAAACTTGGCTTGCTTCGCGCCTGGGTTCCATATGTGTAAACGATTACAAATCGTCTGTCCACTAACACCTGTGGCTCGGGGAAGTTTGGCTCCAATTTAAGAGGCACTCTGACCATGGTTTTGCAACACCGTCGTTCTGAGTAAACTGTCTTATCGCCCATGGTCGAAAAGATCGACGTCTATCATCGACGGTATTTGTCGATTTCATGATTGCAATCTGCTAGCTACTAACTGTGAAACGTGAAGAGCTCGTGCCACAATGCTCTGCCTCATTCCAACTTCCAATATGCCATTCCTGACCTGACAGGCGCCAACACGCATAACTGAGCTTAACACCATAGCAACGTTCAGGTGTTTATCATTGAAATGTGCATCAACACACGCACGTTCCTCTGTAAATCTGGAATTATCCACGGTCACGTGCACATCATGAAAACATGAAAATTGGCGTTACCACGAAATTCATAACACGTGAATGGAATTTTCATTTTCTAAATCCATGTACAATCATACAACATGGTTCCTAAATATTATCCCCTTCAAAACTGAAAAGTGTTTTTCAATGGCACAGTTAACATTGACGTGGGATATGGCGATATGACCTTAAGGGGAAAATGTAGGCATCCCCATTGGCACATTAGTGTTCTACATCTGTTTCATAAGATCTGTGCGTAAAGCTTCAGCGTGAAAGTATCCACAAGACTGCTTGACTGGAGGGCAACCTCCCAACTGCCAATACCCGTAAATACCCCGGTTAAAATTGGTCCTCTGGAACCCATGCTTATCGTGAGAGGCGACTACCGGGATCGGCTGGTCGGACTCGCTGACTTGGTTGATACATGTCATCGTATCCCAGTTGCGTAGATCGATGCTCATGCTGCTCGTGCTGCTCGTTTGAGTGTTTGCCGAAGATGGCTTGCAGTGTTCATGGCCTGTGTGACAGGCGGGCGGCCTTTTGCGTCCAGTAGTTCCAGTATCAAATTCTGAAATCCAGAGTCTGCAGTTTGAACGTTGTATATGTTTGTTCCACCAGTCTGAAGATGATGACGTTGTCGGGAATGTTCAACCGTATGGGGAATCGAACCCGGGTCTTCAGCTTGACGACCGGACGCTTTAAACCATTAGCCCCATTTCTTGTGTCCACCGCCGTTATATTGATGGGGTATTGCTAAAATAAAGTGATTTTCACCAGATCAGGTTTATTGTTTTGACTATTACAGAAGGAAACAGTTATTATCTTGCTGACAAGGTGTAAAATTATCAAACATAAGTAAGCTCACTGAACATACATCACCTGCTAGACATTGTAAAAATAATATCTCCATAAGCAGAAGCGCTAGTACAGTTTCGACTGTATCAGGAGCGCCTTTTTGTGACTGTCAAGTCGGGATCATGCCAGAGAGGGAAGACCATGGAAAGGTGACCTGTTCTTTGCACCCATGGAAAAGTAAGGTTTCAAAATGTTTGTGTGATGGACATTTACAAATCTGAAGCTTCAGAGACAAAAATGTGTCTAGATGTTGCCGTGTTTGTTTAGATGAATACCGGACTTGCCATAACAAGGACTCTTACAAGATATGGCTGAGCAGAAATTAAGGAGTGAGGGTAAAGTTTCATGTCTGCTCTCGAATGAATATGGTAATACCAATGAGAGCCGTGTGCATTATAATGTTTTACATTTTGAAATATGAAGTAGCAGTGAGGGATTGGGTGGTCCTGGCATAGTCAGGCTGGTAAGGCTCATAATCAACTTACGTGCCCATGCTCCCCTAGCCCAGACATTGATTGGGACTTCCCCAGGAAGCACAGCCTAGTCGAACTCATCAAGAATTTTCTGGAAGAATAAGGAGACACCGACAAACCACAGCCTTCGACATTACCAAGAGTGTCAGAAAGGCTGTGCTCGTGGTAGAGAACCCACGCACACACAAGAGAGCAGGAGTTGTCAAACCAACGGCACCGAGAACATTCTGGAATCAGACAATTTGATAATTGGGATGCAAGCGTGACATGTCAATGGCAAGGTCCACATATTTGCCATGTTTTTTCCCGAATCTCGTCAGTCACATTACTGTCAAAAGGGACAGAAAATTATATTCAATGATATAAACAATTTCATTGGTGAAACAATATTTCCCTGAAACTATCATAAAATAAGTCCAATCTAAAACACCTTGTTTGTTGAATGCAGTAGTAATAAAGGACAATATCATGTTTGTTGTCTAAGATATGCCTGAGACATTTCCAAATAATTTTGTAATTGCCATCATGTTCCATGACGCCATTGACATATTCTGGGTGGTACCATGGATGGACCCTGGAGTCAAACCACAAGAATGGCGAAGACGATAATAAAAGGAACGAATTGAGACCACCAGCATTTCATTAATGACTTCAGTTAAACAAGTAATCGCTCAGGGTGGTTTTGTATGTTGCATTTAAATTTGTCCAAATCGATTTGTGATGTTTTGTGATTGATTTCCCCAGGACCGAAATTTTAAGCAAAGCTCTGTACAGAATATATCTTTCCTTGTTTCGGTTAGACACTTTGGAGCCGATTTTTGTTTGAATGACTTTGTCTATTAACAGTGTTTGGTTCTTTGTCTTTGGAAACTGAACACTCAATACCTATAGACTTAACTTGGTGCGTCCACTCGACTTTCTCCCTACCGTTCCGTGACCCACTGACAACCTGTTTACGGGGGTTAGCCAGGGCGATTCTATGTAGGCCCACCACTGACAAGCGTATATTTGTTATTATATTTCCGCCTAGAGCATCAGGTAATTAATTAATATGGTTGTAGCGGATTATCCATGCACTAGACCATTGCGTTATGAAACCTAATGACAGGATATATGATACTATATTTCTCTAACGATGGGTATCGCATAACAAATTAAACTTCAATTATCATAGAATTACACTATCAATTTCCTCTACCGTTTTGCCACTTTAGCCATATCTAATGTAACATATGTTATAACAAGTACAAATCCAGTTGAGTTGATGTAGTTGGATTCCACACCACACTCTGAAACCCGCCCCCGATTTCTCGAAACAAACTTTAGATTTACTCAAATTTCAAAATGAGTTTGACAATTTGAAACAGCTGAATTTTTAACTCAGCTGCATTTTAAAAATAAAAAATCCCAAACAACTTACGTATTCTATTCACCAAACTCAAATTGTCTACTATGTGGGAGTTTAATATCGATTTCAGTTCAACATGGGAAATGAGTTTTCTCAAATCTGAGTAGAAATTCGAACTTAAGTAAAAAATCAGACTTAAGTTTGTTTCGAGAAATCGGGGCCTGATCGACAGCGCGAAAGTCAGCGATCTAACCCACTGAGACTACCACTGGTTGTCTAGATCACAGACTTGTATCCTCTGACAAGTGTACGTAGCTGCAAGCCATGAATAGACAATGCCTAGAAGATTGGATTGGATTGGTTGTTGTTTAACGCCGCACTCAGCAATGTTTCCAGCTATATGGCAATGGTCTGTAAAAAATAGAGTCAGGACCAGACAATCCAGTGATGAGATCGAGAACATCGATCGACACATCGATCGACACATCGATCGACACAATTGGGATACGATGATATGTGTCGACCAAATCAGCGAGCCTGACCACCCTATCGCGTTAGTCGCCTTTTACGACAAAAATGGGTTACTGAAGACCATTTCTAACCCGGATCTTCACGGGTGGTGCCTTGAAGAGTGAGTGAGTGAGTATTAACGTCACATCGGCAATGTTTTAGCCATAGCGTGACGAGAACAAACTTTATGCTGATAATGAATATGTGTTTATTATAAAACCTGTTGTCAAAGGACAGTAAAATAACTAGACTATCACAGTTAGAATTAACACTAGCATGTATTAAAACTAATAGCACTATTTGGACAATGCATAATATAAAAATAGACCAGAGATCGCCAACAACTGAAGGTAGATCACCATACTAGGGACCATGGGGACTTACAGTACTTTTGCTATCTGCATGGACGTTAGCTGGTTTACACCATCCCTTCAGGTGTTGGCGATTATGGAGAAATGAAGCCGAACCTTAAAAGAACCAATATCCTACTATTAAAACGATTGTAGATATAAAATACTTCAAATGAAATGGGACTTACGTACCCTCTCAGGGGGACAATAATTTTATGGTTCTTCAACCCCTTCGACGGCACATCCATACCCAATCTCTGTTAAAAATCACATCCTATCAAATATTGTAAAAATCATCACTATGTACATAAGACTTTATGAATTAGATCTATTTATGAAGTTCAAGAGATTAAATGAGAATGGACGTCATTAAAAAGTTCCTTTGCTGTTTTGAGGATGCCTTGAAGAAAGGGATTAAATGAGACATGTTATATTTATGGCTTCACTTTCTCATTATAGTTCAAATTCAAGAATTGACTGACACAGTATAACCGCACATCTGAACATTTTTTTAATGCTGGGATGGAAATACTTTTTTCTAAGTGTGCCTTAGGGCACCAGACAAATATTTTAGGTGTGCCTTTCAGAAATCGAGTATGCCCACATGTTTTTAGAATAAATGACAATGATGATTGTTACTTGAAATTTATTGTTGAATAAAGAAATGGGTTTATGAGCATTCACATATGTATGGTATCATTCAATTTGGAAAAAAATTGTTTTAGGGATTAAATGACTGAGATCAGCCTCTTTAAAACAAGCAGTAGTGCCCTCTACCCGCAGAGCGAGTTATGGCGATAGAGCTTTCGCCAAAGCAGGTCCTCTGTTATGGAACCAACTACCTGAAAACTTGAAAAACTTGTCAGACATAATTCCATTCAAAAAAGAACTAAAAACAGTTCTTTTCCACAGAGCATTCGACCAAGCGCCTTAGAGCAAACCTTGGATTCAGGCGCTATACAAATTTTAACATTAATTAAATGACTAAATGTGAGTTATGTCTCTAAAAAGACCGAGGACATTTTTAAGCGGTGCCATTTCTATATTTACCGTGCCATGGCACACTAATATATGGGGTATTTCGAACCCTGAAATGGCAACGTGTTATACTACGTATTCATATTTCATGTGATCAGTTTAGTCTGATCACGTATTGAAGTTTTATTTACATTAACACGACCCAGCACATCAGTCTGAGTGCTGAGTGCTTAGTCAGATTCAGGGGCGGTGGGGTAGCCTAGTGGTTAAAGCGTTCACTCGTCACGCCGAAGACCCGGGTTCGATTCCCCACATGGGTACATTGTGTGAAGCCCATTTCTGGTGTCCTCCGCCATAATATTGCTGGAATATTGCTAAAAGCAGCGTAAAATTCACACTAGAGCATCCAACGATCACAGCGTGACCAGCCCGTTATTTGTGACGTTTTACTCCCACAGTGCCCATTTTTGGAAATGGGCAGAGTTTAAACAACAGAGGGATTAGCTAATAGTCTGTATCGGGCTAGTGGGCACTGATATAGGCACTGACCTTTGTGACGCTGTCCGCCATCTGGCTTTTAAGGTTTGTTAATTGACGCCCCAACTTCACTGTACATTTGATAAGCATAAATGTCCATCAAGTCAGAGTCAATTTATTCATGTCCATTCTGTTTATGTAAATACATATTATGTATAAAACTGTATGCCAGTACTTGTACTCAAGAAAGAGATGACTCAGAGAGGTAGAGACCCACATGACGACACGGGACTCTGTTCCGGATAGCCAGTCACACACGCAAGAGAGTAAGAGACTTTACTTACATAGAGACTTATATCATATGCCCGATCTCGAACAATACATTAGTAACATATCTGTGCAGAATAAAATCACAAATACTCAGAGATGGTTGTATTGCTTTGTAGACTCCCGAGGATTCATTTTTTACTCCAATTATCCCACAATTACCAATTACAAGACTGTTTGCTTTCTCGTATTTTCCTCTTTCTCACGTTTGATCTCTTTTTTTATAAATAAGTACAATTTCAAATATGTGTTTATTGCCGGTGTCGTTTTAACCAACCTATTTTGACGGTAAGAAATAAACCTTTTTGTATTTCTATTTCATTTACAATTTACCCAACAGCTTTTCAAATGGGTCCTCTTAGGCGGGCTAAAAAGCTGTGCAGAGGTGCGTCTTTAAGAACTGTCAGAAACCTGTGATTGTTGGTTCGAATACCACCAGCATACCGTACGCTGTGTTATTTTTTAATATATTTGATTATCAAAATACCACAGGCCAGGTTGAGCATATCAGACCACTGGGGTTCTCTGACTAATCTCTTCACAGCCTGTAACTAAATATAATCCTGATGATTTAACTGTCAAAGGACTGCAGTCGTGCAACGTTGGACCTGCCGACTAGAAAATATATATCGTGGGACGGCAAAACCCCACCTGATTAAATTGTTTTTATTGAATACAGGTAGTTATTTGCGTCAGTGATGATTAAAAATGATAACAACTTTCATGTCTGTAAATTTATCCCAGCTGCAGGGCGCAGTGTTGTGATCATGAAGATCATCAGATGTTCGATTTTAAACTTGCCTTTTCTCCAATAGACACAAAACAAACCCATGTCATGAGGCGCTGTACTCCGTGATCACTGACAATGCCCTTAACATGTGTGGCGAGCGTAAGGCGAATAGTTGAGAGATCTGTTTACGAAGCCACACGTGAGTGGCCATAATGGAAAGCCAAAGTAGGGGATAGTCATATAATCTGGAGCTCCTTTTTCGCCAAATGATGATTCGAATTCAACAGTACCGATTAACATTTTTTTTCTCTTATAAACACGGCTTGATTTGTACCATCACAAGATGAACAATACAGATGTCCACAGGGACACAAAGAACACACTACACCGTAATAATATATACTCTATGAACTTAACAATGTTTAAAACACACGCCCTTCTTTACTCTCATAACAGCGAGTGAGAGAATCTGGTTATACTTCGCTTTTTGCAATATTCTAGCAATATCACGGCTTGAGACACCAGAAATGGGCTTCACACATTGTACCCATCTGGACTCTAACCAGGGTCTTCAGCGTGACGATCGAACGCTCTAACCACTAGGCTACCCCACCGCCCCCTCAAGACAGAAACATTTATGAAAGCAGTCATAGCAAAGAACAGCATTTTTTGTAAACTGACGAGCAAAAGAAAGTACACAGGTGTAATTGTTGTTGCAATCCCAAATATGCGTTCTAACTAATAAAATTATTGAAAAACATTGATTGTATAGAACGCAACCATCATGTTTCATTTGCCAAAATGCAACCAAAAACATTTGTACGTGTTTTGCACGAATATTTGCAAAATTGTGACTATTGTCCCATGCACCAGCACTTTTCTGACAGAGAGTATAAAACCTGTTTGTCGTGAAGACTGAACAATCACTTGACAGAAATCTGGAAAGGCCAAGATTGACGTCGGCGCAACGAGAACGGGCCAAAGGAATGACACAAATGGGTGCTTTCAACAGCGATATTGCAAGGACATTCGGTTGCACAAGACAAACCATAATTCGGCTGTTTAACCGTTTCAGCACGACAGGCCAGACATGTGATCGACCCAGAAGTGGACGTTCCAGAGTCACAACACCCCAAGAGGATCGCTATCTGCGGGTTATTTACCTACGCAACTGGATGTTGACGGTGACGTCATCAGTAGCCACATCATTGGGTCATCGTGTAATCCGATTCACAGTGACAAGACGACTTCGTCCTGCTGGCATGTATGGGCCTACCGACCGCTGCGTGGAATGGCCTTGACCTTCCAGCATCGTAGGAACCGTCTGCAGTGGTTATCACTACATCGCTGTTTATTGTTACAATGTCATTTTGCTGATAAAACACGTGTATTGCAGTGTGCTTCAACATACATTTTCCATATCATCAAAAGGTTTTGTTATTTTTATCTGTGTACAACCTGTGTACTTTCTTTTGCACATCAGTTTAGATCGCATTTGCTGCAGGATACAATGAGTCGCCTCTACTGATGCACTTAAACGTCCCTTCTTTGAATACCCAAGTACTCCCAGACAATTATCATCGGTGGTCTTAGGATACCGAAAGTCAGGGGTGCAGCTGAGGCCTTCTGCCTGTGTACAGGCAGGAGCAAGGACGGTCTGAGTATCAGTTCCAAAACTAAGCTGGTAGGCCTCTGCGACTTGGAGTCTTTTCCCCACTGTAGGACAGATTACTTTAAATGGTTGACAGCAGAAAATTAGGAATCATTACTGAAGAAGAAGCTCGTGTCCGGTCCTGTAAACTGCATTTATATACCTCGCTTCGTGTCACTGTGTCAGTATGTACGACATCCCTGACTCTGTTTCGAATAGAAATAATGTAATGCCATGACAAACTCAAAACAAGGAGATGCCGCTTGTCTCCAGCGTGATATGCTTGTTAGACATCTGGACATGCTACCACAAGAATCAGCTTAGAGTAGCTTCCCTTTGAAAAAGGGCCATAACTCCAGCCCTCGGTCGGATTGATAGCCGCGAATTTTCTGTTTGTGTATACTATATCACTGCCTAAAACAAATTTCAGTTGGAAATACACTGCTTGTTATCTTTGTCCGATATTTTTGACGCAACATGTTAATGGCACATTCCAAGAAAACTTGCAATGTATAGGAATCATTTATGACTACACAATTACCGGGATTTACATATCATACTGGCCTTAAATCGGAAATTCGTTCCCGTATTTAGGCCCATGGAACTAAATTAAGATATTTGATGTTGGGAGTGATCTCCCTTGGTAAGAACACATGACAAACGTTAGTATTTAAATCGTTCAAATTGCGATCAGGGGATTTCAGATGAACAGATAATTGACACGGATCAACCTGAAAAAGATTGTAATTTGACATATTTCGGAACTCTTTGAATATGATAAATGATAAATGACTTTTGAGAACGTTAGGGAAGCAAATGTTTGCAGTTGACTGTTCCTGAATTACACGTGTTTTGAAACTTTTTTTCGTTCAGACTATTCCAGTTGAATTATATAATAGAACTTGCATGTGATTTTGCAATAAAAAATAAACGTTTTGAGTGCTTGAAAAGTCTATACGGACTCACCAACGGACATCTCAATAAACTACAAAAAGTCCAAAATACAGCAGCACGTATTATGTCCCTTACCACTAAACGAGACCATATCACCCCTGTACTCTCATCATTACACTGGCTTCCAATCAAGTTCCGGATTGACTTCAAACTTCTTTGCATTGTGTATAAATGTTTGCATAATCAAGCTCCTTCATATCTCTCTGAACTTCTCACTGTGTACTCCCCTACCAGAACTCTCAGATCTCAAGACTATTGTCTTCTCTCCGTTCCCAAAGTTCTCCTTTCTTCTCTTGGCAAGAGGTCTTTCCAGTACGCTGGTCCTACTCTGTGGAATTCTCTCCCTCTCCACATAAAGCAGTCATGCACATTGGAAATTTTCAAAATTAAGTTGAAGACTTTCTTTTTTTCCAAAGCCTATCCCTAAAGTCAATCTTTCTGTCATCAATTTCAATGTATACTTATTTTGCTATTTTATCCTCTGTATGCATTGTATGTATGCTTTTATGTAGCGCCTTGAGCATGTATCAGTGGGTGGAAAATGGCGCGCTTAAAATATCCATTATTATTATTTTTTTAATATTGATTAAACGTCATATAGGTCATTAAGCATATCATGTGGTTGATTATTTCCCATTCAGTATGTGCAATTTCTTATAAATGCTTGAAAAGAAGATTTGGATAACTTGCCGCTGACAATTACGACAATCGAGAAATTCTAGTTGAACACACATTCACAAGCGAAAGGTACGAGTCTCGCGCACTGTACGCGAATTTACGCACCAAAGCAAATGCGGGTAGTGATATAGTTCTGAGAGAGAAGAATAATGTCCAGAACGCCATCAGCAATGATATTCACGAGGATGGACATTTCGAAAGGAAGATACCTTTGACACAAAAGTATTTACCGCTTACCGCCTTCAACACACCACTCGGTAGATGCCGATCGATATCACATCACAAAACGAGATAATCATGAAAAGAATTTACATGCGTTACAGTGGTTTCCCATCTGAGAGTATCATATCATAGTATGGTAAGAAAATGATGATAAAGGGCATAAGTAGAATGGCATTAAAGTGTTGGACAGAGCTGTTTAATTAAATAGGACTTAAACCCAACACGGACAAATGTCACTTGAAAGTGAAAGAAGTCAGTTATGTTGGACATTGTTAACTGGTTGACTGGTCAAGGTGTCAAACCGGGCCCTGGGAATATCACCGCAATGTTTGAAATGTCCGTTCCAGATGATGTTTCATGGGTCAGATGATTTCTTGGTATAGTTGTAAACATACCTTTGTCAAGCTACATTAGTATACCGGGAATTCCCGTATTTAAGCCCCGGGCTTAAATACGGAAAATCACTGTTCTAGTGATGAAATATTTTAACCATATTTAAGCCCAGGGCTTAAATTCGAAAGTGCACAATATTTTGACAAAGAGGAAAAGAATCAGGATTTTTTTTAAACTCGTTAATCAGGAAACTGGTTTTTAAATTCAAAATTTAAAGTTATGAAAATGTTTACTCGAGTGAGTATATGTGAACGTGAATGATAACGTTGACAGTCTTTAATGCAAAACACGAACTTCAAACGATTATGAGAAATGACTGACATCTAAGACAATGACTAGTCTCTACAGTGAGTATTTAGAGCCACACTGTTTTCAGAGTTCAAAGCTATGGAAATTTTCACTCACTAAATACGGGAATTCCCCTGTGTTAACGGACCCATCACACAAATGTTCGATGCCTCCGAGAATGTGCAGGGTATGCCTGTCGTCCACAGAATGTGACGGTTTGTTATTCAAAGGAGATTGTCATTGTCCCCACATCACTGCAGTATGGCTTTAATATCTATCAGGGACACCTCAATGCAGAGCTGTGTAAAAGAAGACTGACTGACTGAGTTTGGTTTTACGCCGCTTTTAGCAATATTCCAGCAACATCACGGCGGGGGACACCAGAAATGGGCTTGTAAAAGAAGAGCAAGAGGCATTATGTATTTGTGTAACATGAACTCTGAACAGTGAGTAGCTGAAAATGCAGCATGCAACAGCTGCAAAACATCAACAATAGAAAACCTCTCAAATGTCAAGACATTCCCACCAGACCTTGACAAATACTCAGCACAGATATATACTCACCATCAAAAGTTTAGACTCACTAGTGTAAATGTAGCCATTTACTTAAGTCAACTGTTCTGAACTAGATTTTACAAAGGTTTCCATACTGTTTAAAGGTACTGTTTACACATGAACTGATGTATTGTAAAACAAATTCGTAACGTTGAAAAGATTATTGTCATGGGTTAAAACAATGTTGAAACTGAGTGGAAATTGGCGAATTTTTAACAAATTCTTACACCATAACACAGCTGTTCACATTCACGATATTTGCACATGCTTTTTAGCAATCTAATGCATGATCCTCGTGCAATTCACCTGCATAAAGTTTGCAGTTGGTTCCCCAAAGTTAGTGGAGAAATTCATCTTCGATGTAACCACACATATATGTATAAGATATAGTGAGTGCTTTGGGTGCTTTTGATGGGTAGTATATTTAGTTGGAACTCTAATGAATACCTTGTACAAATTCAACAGTTGTGATAAGAAAAAGGGGCACTTTGCTTGGTTCGAAGTGCCATTCACTCTCCTATCAGACATTGACCCCCAGTTCTGGTTACGGGAACATTGCAATATTTGCTCAAACCAGAGACCATATAAAGTATTATATAGTCTCTGCTCAAACCTAGAGATTCACACATAAAATGAGTTGTTCAGATAACCTACATAGCATTTACGAAAAGGCAGTGCAGTCGGCCAAAAGAATTTGGAAAAACCAATAGCGATGACCCATTCCTTGCCTTACTGAACCAAGACGTACACTAATAGATCAAGTCGTGGGATCGCCTGTACATCGATACATGTAACGTAGAATCCAAACTGAAACCCCTTTTTCATCCAAGTTACCTTCAGCTGTTGTTCGACGACCATCCTGTTTTCACAAATACCTTGTTGAACAGAACATGATTTCGCTGAAATACCTAAACTGCTGCCTGCACTTGGACCTGGTGACTCGGTAAGAATCCTCTCAAATAATGGATTTGATAGACTAAAACTTGTAAAACGACTAGATCAGTAATACAAGACCCTACATCATATCAAAGCCCAATTGCGTGGAACGATTCTCATGATCGTTAATCACTGGATTGTCTAATCCAGACTCGATTACTCACAGACCACCGCCATATAACTGGAATATTGCTGAGTGCGGCGTAAAACTAAACTCACTCACTCACGCCTTGAAAGAGGAACGGATGAGGAATTTTCCTGACTAGCGGTCAACTCAAGTACAGAGATTGCAAACCTATCTCCCTTACTGTGCACATGGCCCACGCGCTCAAAACGCTCGAGCTCGTGTACGACAGTTACCAACCAACGCAAAGCCATTGCTTGGAAATACAGTATTTATTCATTTGTTCACATCTGAGTAAGCACAGAAAGTTACACCGGTAAGAACATTAATTGGTAAACAGAAAATAAATCTTTTTCAGTTTTTGTATGATTATAGCCTCCATTGGGATGAATATGGATGCATGCATGCATGTATCATTGTATGATGTATGATAAGTGTTATTGTGTGTTATGCATTATGTATTCACACACGTTCGTAATACATGATGATCGTCACCACAGTTTCAGTGTCTCGGCTACATTCTGAAAGCAGCGGCAGGTAAGTAAACGCGACTCGTTCTTGTGTTCTGACTCATTAAGAAACAGGGGTCTAAGGATACTTTTCAATGTGCACTTTGACAGTACAGATTCAGCATCATTCTTTTGCTTCCCGAAAAACTGTTCAATGCCTATAACTTGGTGCATTTCATATCGTCTGCTCGAGGGCTCAGGGGAAGCCTTATGGCAAAACGTTCCCTCGTCACGCCGAAGATCACGCCTGTAGATCTGCTGGTAACTAGTCTGAGTTCGATTCCCCACATTGGTAGAAAGTGTGATGCCCATGCTTGATACGTCTGAGGCCCGTGTTCGATTCCCCACGTGGATAATAACGTGTGAAACGTTTCATCAGAATCCGCTCTAAATCCAAAACCGGGCTCGAAATAACATACGTTTGACATACAGATGCGACACAGTTTCACTTCATCTCTATTCCACAAATTATTCCACGTTATGACGATCGTATCTCGCATATTTTAACACTGAAACATTGTAGTCACGGCACATATATCGTGTTTTGAAAGGTCCCTGAGTTTGTGACCATCAGGCAGAGAGTAAACCGGTAATTATTAGCCAGATCAAACCATGAAGGCCGTGGGATCCGACGTTCGTTCAAGGCAGGCGTTAAATGCAAGGCAGTGTTTTTTTCCATAGTCGGTCGGGGCGGTGGGGTAGGCCAGTGGCTAAAGCGTTGGCTCGTCACGTCGAAGACCCGGGATCAATTCCCTGCATGGGTACAATGTGTAAAGCCCACTTCCAGTGTCCCCCGCCGTGATAATATTGCTGGAATGTTGTTAAGAGCGGCGTAAAACCATACTCACTCACTTCGTCTACCCATGCGTCTTAGACCTTCTTTGCATCGGGCTTTCCACCCCACATGAGTACAATTTGTGAAGCTCATTTCTGGTGTCCCCCGCCGTGATATTGCTGAAATATTGCTAGAGGTGTACAACTGAACTTACTCACCACACGAAGCTGACAAGAGCATGGGTGTGGTGCTGACAATAATATAGCAACATAATCAGGAGCTGAGTGAGTTTAGTTTTACGCCGCACTCAGCAATATTCAAGCTATATGGCGGTGGTCTGTAAATAACCGAGTCTGGACCAGACAATCCAGTGATCAACAGCATGAGCATCGATCTGCGCAATTGGGAACCGATGACATGTGTCAACCAAGTCAGCGAGCCTGACCACCCGATCCCTTTAGTCGCCTCTTACGACAAGCATAGTCGCCTTTTGTGGCAAGCATGGGTTGCTGAAGGGTCTAGGACAATTGCCACCCAGACAATTCCCACCTAGGACAATTCCCACCTAGGACAATTCCCACCTAGGACAATTCCCACCCAGGACAATTCCCACCCAGGACAATTCCCACCCGGACAATTCCCACCCCAAAATAAAAATAACATGAAGAACATAGTTCAGTTTCAACATTTATTCATTTTGACATAAATACCATATAACAATATTCCATATAAAAACAAACATCAACTATTACTTTCTTCATGACATGCTTTAGTATGGTTGAACTTATCAGGTTTTAAAGTCTTATTTAATACACAACAAATAATAACATTTTTTTTAAAATAAGGAAGCACTATTTTGTGACATACATAGGTTTACAGCAACTTTTCAAATTTTACTGATATTGACATGTTTACATGTTTACTGATATTGACAAGCACTATAGCATGAACTGATATTGACATGTTTACTGATATTGACAAGCACTATAACATGAACTGTTTTCAATTCAAGTTCGCTACATTCTAATGTTGTGGGCACACTTCGTAGGAAGTCTATACATGTTTCCTTGATCGGGCAATGTTCAACCCAGGTAGCATCTTAGGCAAAGCACCCATGCTTCTCAAAACATTCATCTCAAGATATGTATATTTAAGACAGTAGCACCCAAGCTCAAATAAATTGGTTTTATAAACATTTGATCTGCCTAGCACTTGCTCACAATACAAATTCGTCAATGTTATTTTAGTAAATAGGTCTTATGTTTGCACTTAAGTTCAAACTTCATCAAGTTGATATTTTATCAAAGTCAATAATACATCAAAGTGAAAATTCATCAAAGTCAAATTACTTTAATGTCAAAATTTCAATATTTTATCATTTTCAATATTACACCAAAGTCAATATGTCAATATTTTAAAGCCTGGGTGGGAATTGTCCTCATCATTATAGTGAAAATAACTGGGTGGGAATTGTCCGGGTGGCAATTGACCGGGTGGGAATTGTTTAAATTTCTTTACTGTCAAAATTTCAATATTTTATCATTTTCAATATTACACCAAATATTTCAATATTTCAAAGCCTGGGTGGGAATTGTCCTCATCATTATAGTGAAATTAACTGGGTGGGAATTGTCCTTGGTGGCATTTGTCCGGGTGGCAATTGACCGGGTGGGAATTGTCCGGGTGGGAATTGTCTTGCTCCCGTTGCTGAAGACCTATTCTACCCCGGATCTTGACGGGTCACATACTCCGGACCAAACGCGATTTGAACTGAAGTGTGAAGTGACGTTAACTGAGTAGTGTAGACATACCACTGCGGGCAGTACTGAAATTGACTGTGTATATCAGCATATAGTGTGTGTATATAATGATATTAGTAGTTTAAAAAAACTACTTAAGTCAAATAACGTAATTATAAAATTCAATGAATATTTGGAACTGTTGCTGTTTTCTTTAGTTTTATGTCTTCTGTTAACCTAGTGGACTAGTTTATTTTACTATAAGGGGTGGTAAAATCAGTCATGCATACCAACAACAGTCAACAGGCCATAACGTGTTGGGTTAGCATTGTTGGAGAATTGAGATGTAGGCGAAATGACACTCATCGATCGCAATGGACGCCATTACGCAAAGAGCTTTTTGGCGGCGCTTTTGATGTTTGGGTGCCATTACCAATACTACTCTACGACAGCAAATTCGCGCATGCTATTTTATATGATGAATTAAACATAAAATTCGTTTTTCAATAGCAGGCGATTTTTGTCTGTTTCGCTGAAAAAATGAATTTGCACGAGAAATTTTGTGAAGAATGTGTTAGACTGTGGATCTTTAAACCTTGGTAGTGGAGAGAATGTTTCATTCCTTATAAAGACACGTTGAAGGAGTGCAACCCGAAAAAACATCACATTTCTCAGCAGAATTAAACAATTGTTATGCCAAGGCTAACAGAAAATGAACGTTGGCGAGTTATTGGAATGCTCCAATCCGGTACTCCACAACGAGAAGTTGCACGCAGATTCAATGTCCATCGAAACACAGTATGGAACCTGTGGCAACGACACCACCAGACAAATCATGTCAGAGACCGTCTTCGTAGTGGGCGACGCCCGGTAACGACCCGACGTCAAAACAACTGGATTCGACAGACACACCTCCGGAACCGTTTCCAGCCAGCAACAGTCACGGCAGCAACCATCCCTGGACTGAGGCGGATATCACCACAAACCGTTCGTCGACGTTTACTGCTTTTTGGGATCATCGCACGCCGCCCATCAAGACGGCCGATTTTGACGTTACAACATCGCCAACGACGTCTACAGTGGGCAAGACAGCATGTGAGCTGGACTCAACGTCAGTGGAATCATGTCCTCTTCACGGATGAGTCCAGATTTTCGCTTCACAGAGCTGATGGCCGTGTGCGAGTTTACCGTCGACGTGGCGAACGTTATGCTGACAATTGTGTCATGGAAATTGATCGGTTTGGAGGCGATAGCGTGATGGTCTGGGGTGGAATTACGGCTACACATAAGACAGACCTTCTCATCATCGCTGGTAATCTGACAGGGCAGCGATATCAGGATGAGGTTCTCCAGCCAGCCGTTTTACCGTTCATACGGCAACATGGACCAGGGATGACGTTACAGCAGGACAACGCCAGACCGCACACTGCCCGTATTGTTCAACGTTTTCTGGCCCAGAACAAAGTTGATGTGCTTCCATGGCCAGCTAAGTCACCGGACATGTCGCCTATTGAGCATGTGTTGGATGAAATGGAAAGACGCTGGCGACGCTCACCAAATCCGCCTGTAACGCTGCAGCAACTGCAACAACGTCTTCGTGAGATCTGGGACAACATCCCACAACGATGTCATACACGACTGATTAATTCCACGCGACGGAGGTGTGTTGCCTGTATCAACTCTGCTGGTGGTCATACCCGGTATTAGGGTGGGACTTTTCATTCTACACCCTAAGCATTCAGATTGGTGTTTTACCTTTTGAAATTGTCACTAATCCGAAATTACGAAATTAGCAGGTCAAATGTCTGTTCTATGAAATATAAGTGTTTGTATTAACTTCGTTTACTTACGCGTTTTTCTACACCATGTTTAATAGCGTCACAAGAACTTTTGTTGCTGAGTATTTAATATTTTCATTTGACGGCTGGCCCCAAATCATGAACATAATGACGTTCTGTTCGTATTTATCATCCAATACGTTTTTCCAGAGGAGATATTGTTTTGGTAAGTTTTGAGCTAATTGCTGATTGGTCAATATTTTCGGACTACTTTCATCTCCATTAGCTGTAAACAAAGATGGTAACCGCAATTAAGTCATTTTTGACAGGTGACAAAGTTTCAATATTGATATATTTGATATTGCTGTTAGGTCCGTCTCCTATTCTCGCGGGTTTCCTATTCTCGTTGTAAATACGTTTTCTGCCGAAATCGCCGATGCGTGACACTTAGCGGTTGTTTCTGTAAGTACCGCGAGAATAGGAAACGCCTTCCTAACATTTAGTGGTAACATTTCATCGTTATATGTCTCTATATTTAATGCATGTCTTTACCAGTGAATGTTGAAATATTATAAAATAGTTGCGAGTAAATAAGTGTGAAATTCAGAAACGACATAAAGTTCGCACGGTCCGTTTATTCTCGCGGGTTTCCTATTCTCGTTGTAAATACGTTTTCTGCGATGCGTGACACTTAGCGGTTGTTTCTGTAAGTACCGCGAGAATAGGCTAACATTTAGTGGTAACATTTCATCGTTATATGTCTCTATATTTAATGCATGTCTTTACCAGTGAATGTTGAAATATTATAAAATAGTTGCGAGTAAATAAGTGTGAAATTCAGAAACGACAAAGTTCGCACGGTTTTTGGCACAACTGCTATAGGATATGTTTTTAGTTACAGTTAATAGATATAAATGTTCTTGCATACATGTTGGGTGTTTTCAGTCAACCGCTACCTCAGTTCTAACATTCGTCCGTAAAATGAAACTATGTTTATGGGAGTTGTCTGTATTGAGAATTGCTAAAGTGAAAGATTTCAAAGATACCTCTGATAAAATCTACAGTCCATGTTTAATTTTTTACAACAAGTTGTGGTATACACACAAAATTTGCAACATTTGTATCTTTCAAGTCCATTATTGTAGAACACTTTAACGGTTACAAACACACAACATTTCCAGAAAACGGAGGGGCGGTGGGGTAGCCTAGTGGTTAAAGCATTCGCTTGTCACGCCGAAGACCCGGGTTCGATTCCCCACATGGCCTCACCGTGTCAGGTCCATTTTTGATGTCCCCGCCATGATATTGCTGGAATATTGCTAAAAGCGGCGTAAAACCCAATTCACTCTCCAGAAAACGGTCTGTTTAATTTATTTGCGTGACATAGTCTAATGCGATCCTAAAGTGACTTTGATACCAGGATTACTACTTTACATTACAGTGATGTCAAGAGCGAGCAATGTAGTTTTGTGACTTAACATATATAAAATTATTCTCGTTTATCATTACCGCCCGACACAAAAATTCGACCAGACCCTAAGATTTAAAAAAAAAATATCACACTAGAGAAAATGCAACTTTGACTCTCAAAATGTGCATGAATATTTCACTCTTATAAGTTTTGATCTCCTATCGGAGAAAAGGTATAAATTTCCACAGAAATCAAGGGGTTTTGGACATAAAATAAAATAAAATTTAAGAATAAAATCCGCTCGCCCGATCCGACCCATACCTTTTTAAATAAGTGATGAGAAACAAGATTATTTTTATATATGGCTTAAGGATACACTTCTGTTCATATCGAATAGTTTTTGTCACAATATGAAATAAAAGTACAAAAGGAGAGTCAGCCTGCTTACTAATTAGTGCTTGAGAAGTTACATATCTAGTCGACCTAGTCTATATTCAATCTGGACCAGCTGGCTAGCTGTCGATGTATTAAACATCTAAAACGGTTTCACAAACTTATTATTAGTGATGTTACCATGACTACATGTTCACTTAATCCATTAAGGCGCTGGTGGTTGGAGTAAGCTTTACCAGATGCTGCTTACAATGATACTAGGAATAATCAATTTGTATAGTGTAACAGGTATATGGTATTATTACCCACGTGGTCAACGTATGGGTAGTTGCATACTAATCTCGTACGTCACACGAGTGTCGTGTCGCGTTGACCTGTGTCGTAACGACTTGACCTGAGATTCTAACGATTTGATTGGATAACCGATGACCTCTCAATTAGGTCACATTCTGACGTAACACGTGAATTCATTCATTCTACAACTTAAATGCATTGTGGGAATGTAAACATTGCGATCGTTGCCGTGTCGCTGTTTAACTGTGAGTCGAACTGAGACATTATATCCGTCGAAAAACATAAACGCAATGTTTCCACCAGTGATGTTAGCCGAATGAAGCAACTGCAAACCAAGAAACGGGGTGCTACGGAGTAGTTTACTGTAGGAGGCTGTACGTGGCGATGACAACTGACATGCATCGGGACGTCGGTTACCAAGGCAGTGACGTCATTACAGTGTGACGTCATGCAAATATTGTACTACAGTACAAACTCTTCCGCAACCTCTTTATGAAACCGGTTTCGGTTTGAAACCATAAAAATAACAAAAATACGCTATTTTGTCAATTTAATGCATGTAAGACGTGGGTAATAAATAAAATACCACACTCGGTCTCATTACATACGCATTATACGAAACTCGTGACCTTCCTATGGTATCTGACCTGGTTTTCGCTCGGTCAGATACCATAGGAAGGACACTCGTTTCGTATAATGCGTATGTAATGAGACCTCGTGTAGTATTCTCTATTTATGTGTGTTAGAAAGGTCACCGATAAGTGAGGCGTCCAGTGCACTGTGAATTGACGAATGGATATTTTGCTGTTCAGTCACTGGTTTTCCAGACTCAGTCAGCTGTAGTAAACAACCATTCTTGATCGAATTAAAACCGGAACTTCCGGTTTCTAATGTTCATGGGTTACCTGGGTATTAGATAAAAAAAAAACCGGAAGGAAGGGTTTTCACAAAATGCAGTCTAATAAACCGAAACAAAAACGAAATCAGTCTAACGGTTTTATTTTTACTTTAGAAGCCAAAAGTACCGATGGATCAAATCCCTTTCAAACACAGAGACTGCCAACTGGCTAGAATACAGAAGTTTCTCTGCCATGACCGTTTCGACAGACTTTGTTTGACCTCCAAGTAAGTATGTCGTTCAGTTTCATATTTTGATTTTTAAAATTCATCTGACGACCATGACAATGTTCAGTCAAACAATTATATAAGAACGATTAACTGCACGTGGGAAGACCAGTACCTGGCGTGTTCTCTAGGTTGGGCCATGCCTGAATGGTTTTACGCCGCTTTTAGCAATATTCCAGCAACATCACGGCGGGGGACACACGAAATGGGCTTCACACATTGTACCCATGTGGGGAATCGAACCCGGGTCTTCGGCGTGACGAGCGGACGCTTTAACCACTAGGTTACCCCACCCTCCCACCAGACACATGCACTGACAAGAAGCTTATGCAATATCAGCAAACGCTCTGTCATGAGATGTAGTGTGAGGAAAGAAAATACTTATACATTTTTGTGCAAATCGTTTGAGTGATCGGTGCTACTGTGTTTCATTTCCATAAAGTTCTATGTTGTACCCGTGAAGACCCGGGTTAGCATTGGTCTTCAGTAACTCATGTTTGTCGTAAGAGGCTACTAACGGGATGGGGTGGTCAGACTCTGACTTGGTTGACACATGTCATCGTATCTCCGTTGCGTAGATCGATGCTCATGCTGTTGATCACTGGATTGTCTGGTCCAGACTTGAATATTTACAGACCGCCGCCATATAGCTGTTATATTTCTAAGTACGGCGTAAAGCTGAACTCCCACACATAACTTTAAGCCATGTGCATCCACTAATCAGATGATCAGTCTGAAAATCGGGATAGATTATTCTTTTGGGTTGCCTTTCATAATGTATTAACTACAGCATGGACCCAGCAGGAATTCATTATTTGCATAATAAAAATTGGACAGAATTACTGTGAAATGAATTCAATATCTAGGAATCGATAAAATCTGTTTGCGCAGCAAAAAAGTTCTTACACTTTGCACTTGTATTAATTACGACGTGCGTCACGCTTATATTTTTGGGGAACTATCGGTAGTCAAGTGCAGTTACGTTGTCAACCGGTTTGATTTAGACGATGTTTTGACACTAGCCCAAGAATATATGAAATGATTTATTAGTTCGATCTGTTGTGACATCCTTCTGTGACGACATCGAATTGCTCAAGAACAAATCATCACACTGTCACTATCAATGTGCGACTGTCAATTTGATCAATCTTCTTATCTCATTAAAGATTATATCCACGAAGGGAGGCAATGTATAGCATTGCTCATGCGCAAGCAGCAGACGACACGGCCACGTTCGCCCAGGCCGTGAATCTGTCCTATAACGAGGTCCAGGTTGGCCAAGCGTTTGGACCATTGTAAGTTTACATTTACAATGTAACATCTGTTCTACTTTCTACGACATATATCCTGGTACAGAGTTAGAATTTTCTATTTGAGGCATCCTAATCTTCAAGCAGTATATACCGTAAAAACAACTGAGGTTCACGTTCGTCAAAAGGTGCTGAATGCAGTGTGCGAAATAGCCGCTGGTCCGCTAGCCCGTGGCTAGTAATAATCCAGTCGTGTCAGCAGATCTCCACAGTCGCTGATTCGACTTGTTAGTGAATTTTCATGGGGTCATTTTGTAAATATATCACTCTCTCCAACTTGTTAAGTTAATACACTTTTCAATCATTCAGGATTATGGCCTGATAAAGATGTTCACCATATTAGCAGGTAAATAATGACTTATAGTTATTTTAGCATAAACAAAACATTTAAGAAATTCAGACATGTGTTTTCTTATTTGTTTTTGAAGGTGTTTTACCTTTTAGTAATCTTTTACTTTGTTTCTACATTGAAACTTCGGGCTAGTGAATTATTTTTGGTGCTAGTAACTTTCAGCTATAGCTAGCCTGAATGGCTAGCAAAATTTGGAAAATATTTTGCATACTGGCTGAATGTATTACGATTCCAAAGGACGTTTGGGGTAGCCTAGTTGTTAAACCGTTCGCTAGTCACGCCGAGGGCCCGGTTCGATTCCCAACATGGGTAAAATATGTGAAGCCCATTTCAGGTGCCCCCACCGAGCTATTACTGGAATATTGCTAAAAGTGGTGTAAAACTAAACTCACTCACTCACTCACTCCTAAGGACAGAGCTCATATTTATTTGTTGAACGAGCAGTGGAAAGGTCAAACTCATTGGATTGTGTCAAGCTAGCATCTCTACTGAGTGGGGCGTTGTGCAAACTGCCAATTGCCTGTTTGTCTAATCCAGACTAGATTATGAAAATTCCGGATCTTAACGTGTCACTGTGGTGGTAGACCAGGGATATTGCTCATTTGTGACAACAAAAGATATCTTTTTTGGATTAATAAGTAAAGCATAATGTGCGGGCATTAACCTTTTTATAACTGCAGGTGGTCCAAGCACTGGTTTCGACTCCACGTCAAGATACCTGAAACCTGGTCGGGAGAGGAAGTGAGGCTGGTGTGGAATTCTGGGTCGGAATGCCAAGTATGGGTGGAGGGGAAGCCACTGCAGGTAAGTCTACTTATCTGTCGATCTCGAACACCCGGTGTCGTAACTATTGATATTGATTCATCCATCACGTTATGTAGTCGGAAATCATAGAACGGACTCGGCTTTTAGCATAATAATAGTCCATTATCTTGCGCATTTCTCCATGCACAATGCATGCTCAAAGCGCCCAAACAATCTGATTATTATTACCCCGGATATCCCAGCTGCCTGTTTAGCGCTGGAAGGTTATAGTCACATGACTTATCCCACCGGGTACCCATTTTCTGCTGGGTGAACAGAGGCAATTTTGAACAAACTCACTTGCTTGAGGCGAGACCAGATGGATCACATGTGCTTCGTTGTGGGCCTGGACTGAAGTCCCAGAAACTCTCAGGAGTCAAGCTGCCACACATGGCCACCCATCCAAAGACACTCCGCGCCCAACGTTGCTTAACTTCACCTGAAGTGTGTCCTGAGCTCTATGCACAGGACCACGTGCCACCACTAGGTTGTGTCACTTGTTTATTTGTCAGTATCGTTATTATATGATACGACCCGTGAAGGTCCGGGTTAGGAGGAACCTTCAGGAACACATGCTTGTCGTAAGAGGCGACTAACGGGATCGGGTGGTCAGGCTCGCTGGCTTGGTTGACACATGTCATCGGTTCCCAATTGCGCATATCGATGCTCATGCTGTTGATCACTGGATTGTCTGGTCGAGACTCGATTATTTACAGACCGCCGCCATATAGCTGGTACATTGCTGAGTGCGGCGTAAAACTAAACTCGCTAACTGTTATGTGATGATGATATTGCTTACGTTTACAAAAACTGTTCTACAATTGGTGTCTTGACAAAATATTCATCAACTTCATTTTAGACACATGTTCCATGCTCAACAACTCTGTGTATACGTTTTCTCAGAATCTACCGAAGTGACATGATTGAAACATTGAAAGCTAATCTCAAAGAAAATTGGACCCATAATTGTTTTGCGAGTTATTGTTTAAAGAGCTGTATGTTGGGAAACTGTGAATGAATGCATGCTTATACTAGACATTTGTTATGTAACAGATGTTACGTTTATGATGGCGGGGAAAGCCCAATGGTGAACACGTTCGCTCTTCATACCTCCCGCCGCCATATAGCTGGAAAATTGCTGAGTGCTGCGTAAAACTAAACTCACTGACCGCTTGTCGTCGAGGCGACTACCAGGATCGGCTGGTCAGGCTTGGTTGACACATGTCATCGTGTCCCAATTGCGTGTCCACTCACTCATACCCATCTCTGATTCCCGATAGATATAACGGTACTTTTTACCTTTACTGGGTCATCAAGATGGAACAAGTATCCAATGCGAATGAGTGAGTTTAGTTTTACGCCACTTTCAGCAATATTCCAGCAATATCACCGCGGAGGACCCCGGAAATGGGCTTCACATATTGCAGCCATGTGGGGAATGGGAGCCCGGATCTTCGGTGTGACGAGCAAACGCTTGAGCCACTAGGCTACCCCACCGCCCCAATTATACAATGAAATAGTTATATCACTTTTCCGAACAATTATCATCAAGAAACCAGACACCATTGGACACATTAATATTTTGTTTGTTCACATGCTGACTCTTATTCTTATCTTCCAGGGTTTAAGTTGTATGAAGAAGAGATATTACTATACCATTACGCCATGTGTCGAAGTAGGAGCCCTTGAGTGAGTTTTTAATTCTTGGTTTTAGTGTTATGTTTAAGGTTGCAGTGAAATGATTGTATGAAGAATTATCAGACATGTTTTAGTGATGGAGGAGTATACAAAACTTACAAAAGGAAGTACACACCTGGTGCTTGGGGAATATTTCTTCAAAATATTTTTTAAATTGACTTTCGAGCCAAACATTGTGTACGTGTTGCCAAAACACCGTATGAAAGCGCAATGTTGACAGCCCCTCACGTTTCTTGCCCAACGTAGATGTTGACTAGTCAGTCCATGTTGACGAGTTCATGACATACAAATGGTCGTCTGAAAGTTGAAGGTATTCCTTCCGGTGAGGACAATATGTGGTTATAGCGTTGGCTCGTCACGCCGAAGACCCGGGTTCGATTCCCCACATGGGTATAATGTGTGAAGCCCATTTCTGGTGTCCCCCGCCGTGATGTTGCTGGAATATTGCTAAAAGCGGCGAAAAACAACACTCACTCACTGCAGACTGCATATACCTGGAACGGCGTAAAACTAAATTCACCCACTCGACCTTGGGCTGCCATACATGTGTACATGTCTCACTTGCCTGATGGTCGTCTACCTTGTGTAACCAAAAGTTCTGGCAGTGTCATCTACGACATTCCAGTGTCTCGTTCTCTCTCCGCTGCTAATACTGACATGCGCCTTTAACAGGATTACACCTAATAATCTACCCGTGAAGGTCCGGGTTAGAATATTGATCTTTAGTAACCCATGCTTGTCGTAAGAGGCGACTAAAGGGATCGGATTGTCAGGCTCGCTGACTTTGTTGACACATGTCATCGGTTCCCAATAGCGCAGATCGATGGTCATGCGGTTGATCACTGGATTGTCTGGTCCAGACTCAATTATTTACAGACCGCCGCCATATAGCTGGAAAATTGATGAGTGCGGCGTAAAACTAAACTCACTCACTCACTACTAATAATCGCAATCGACTTTGTTTTGTTGGCGCATGACATTCACGTGCGATTACACAAACAATGATGTGTATGACATATCACGCACAGCTCTCTAAAGAATGCCTGTGGTGTTTACAACACGTACACAATGTTAATAACATAAGACCAGAACACTTTGTAAAATATGCACGTCGTGTTTTTAAGAAATAATGCCAAAACACCAGGTGTGTACCGACTTTTGTTCGTCAATTTAGTAGTATTTATCGGCACAATATCACAATTTTCTGTCTTCAAAGGAGTTGTAGGATATTCGTAAAGAGTGCTGCAGGGGACATAACTCTGTGGGGTTCGCTGGAAATAATGTTCGGCCGGTAGAGGGCGGTAGAGAGTAGAAAATCTATTTAATGCAACGTTGCATTAATGCATTCGAACTTTTTTATTTAATATTGTAATCGAAATACGTAATTGGTTTTGGAATAAATTATATGGTAGCTTGCCTGAGGGTTGTTAGTTAGTACTACTGAGAGAAATGCAGTATTTATTTTTAGAGAAATGTGGTGTGAAATAGTGCTTATAACCTTTAATGGTAGGTTCTTTTTTCAGATTGTCAAGCTCTTCCTGAAAACAGGATCAAAGAATGTTTAAAGGCTGTTTAAGAGTCTCAATGTAGGTTGTCTTAACAAAGTAAACATGGGGGGAAAGGCAAATTATCAATCTTATCAAGACAAAGGCTGTGATATATATGAACACAAATAGCACTTAACTTGCAATTGCCTCTCCAATTCAGGCACACCATCTACATCGAGATGTCCGTCAATGGCATTTTCAACGATTTTAACGAAGCACCTCCTGATTTCAAAGCAACTTTGACTACAGCCGAAATCCGCGTATTTGATAGACATGTATTCAACGTGTCCATGGATTTGCAAGTGTTGTACGAATTGGCAAAGGTACCGAAATATACTGTAAACTTATACGGCATAATTCGTTTGGGATTAAGATATGAAATATTATTACTCTGCACTCCATTTGGTCAGCCTGTGGACAATAATCCAGCTTCAAGGTTTGGTTTGGCGGTAATTATTTGCTGAACTAAACACAAGTTCATGACATAAAATATTCCACATTGATTATATTTATAAGATCAGTATGTACAACAGTACAAAGCTAACGGGAGTTGCCAGATGGGACAAAAAGTTGAAATTCAAGATCGTTATCCTTAGTGTCCTGAAATTACAAGAATAAAATTTAAAAACGAATGACCCTAAAAAGCTTCCGCAGAAACGGGCAGTTTGGTCCCTCATGCTGGGGTTACATAATGTTACTGGAGGCCACGGCAGCCCCGTTTCGCCGAACCGTTGTGAAACAGGGACAAAACGCGATGAACTGAATGAGCAAACAGTCCACAGTGCAGTCCGTTATTGCCGTGGATCGTGCCAGATTTTTATACTGTTCAAAATTTTGCCACGGCAATAACGGTGAAGAAGGGGTGGGGGAGCTTAATAGGCCGTAACAAAACTTGTAGACGGACCGTATTGGGTCCGTAGTGAGACGGGAGGCATGTGTATTCCACGGCATCTCACGGTCCTTTCAAGTTTTGTCACGTACAGCCACGTTTGTTTGGCATATTGTCACTGTTGGTTCACCCTTGCTGCTCGTTTTGTCCCGGTTTTTCACGGCAAGCTGTATGGTAGTCCCGTGCTATCACGACGCATCCAGGCGTGTAACGGTTTTCAGGGCCGGCGAGATACGGCATGATGGGTTCTACTATGGTCGGATTCGGGAGGGAGTATGGCGCAAGGACTTGATGTAATTCCCCAGAAAACATACAAACACAAAACCTTCTTCACCTTGGGGGTTAATGGTCCTCTTGTTTCTCAGTATACAATGGCTGCTCTTGTCTCTCAGAATACAATATCTTGGGAGACCTAGTTTTTATACCGTGGGCACAAACGTCCTCCAAAGCTGGCCGGTGTCCACGTTTCATCGGTACAAAGTCTTGACAGAACGCGCAAAATGTGTCAAAACCTTGATCAAAACGTGAGAAACGTGAGGGAACCCATCAGAACGCGACAGCCTGCCGGGAGGAAACGTACTGGCGTCCATAGTGGACTGCGGGCTGAACCGTAGTGCGCCAATGAGCTCCCGGTACTCGGTAGCCCGTTTTTCCCAACTGCCGATCACGGGTACCGTGATAGACCGTGAGAAGACGTAGCAGGACCTAACAAAACATGACTTTGGAGGGAAAAAAATGGAAAAAATCCCACGGCCCGCTACGTTTTGGGGAAACGCCTTGGCTGCCGGGAACATAGTGTAACCCGAGCATAAGTCGTTCCAGAAATTTCAGTTTTGACCTGATAATATTTCATCAAACCCATTGGTTTCTCACTCGTTCGATTTCAAACTATATGTGTATTTTCATTCCTTGTTACAGGATCTCCCAAGTGATAGCTGTATGTCTGAGCATGCGCTGCATGCTGCTAATGACGTCATCAATGCGTGTGTCCTTGGAACTAGAGACTCCTACGAAGTGTTGGTTCTATGATATTTATGCACAATATTCCGTCCAGCTAAGTTCGCAGATAATGTAAAGTGAGCAAGTTTAATTTTATGTCGCACTCAGCAATATACCAGCTGTATGGCGGCGGAACATCGAGCCTGGACCAGACATTCCAGTGATCAAATGCATGAGCATAGATCTACGCAAATGGGATACGATGACATGTGTCAACCAAGTCAGCGAGCATGACCACCCGATCACAGGTCAGACAATGTAAAGTACTGAAACGATTTGATAGCGATTTGAACACATACTCCAATCAATCGTATAATCAATTCCAAGGGTTTCTCATGGATATGAACAAGGATTCCCTCCCTGTATTTATTATTCATGGTTGCAGAGAAAATATCTTTAAACATGACAGGAAAGCAACAAACTAATGATGCCAAACATTCGTGTCAGGTTGTAAAACCAATAAATGAAGTGAAGGAATCTTAAGCTTAAACGTTTTAATAGCATGAATTGATAAATGCATGTAAGAGCCTAAAAGAGTATTGGGTGGATAACATGACCAGGTTGAATGTGTATAGGTCATCGCACCTGGTCATTGGTAAAATACCGGTCTGCTTATCATTGCTGGATATTGCTGATCGCCCGAAAAAAAACCACTCATTTTAACGCGCCATCCCAATATAATCCTCGGATGTCCTTACTGACTGAGGCTGTTTCACTTCTTTGTGCGGAGTTGCGTCACAGAAACCTATGTTATTGGGATCGAATCTCAGTTTATGTATGTTATTACCAAACCAATGGCAAAATTGTAAATGTCAAAAACCTGCACTCAAACGGTTTCAGTAAATTCAAAGCGGCGAAAACCGCAACTCGACAAACTATTCACACATTTACGTTTATGTTATCACATATTATTGTTTGATACGTTAATTCAGGGCACGATCACAGGCAAGTCATGTGCTGGCTATGGCAAATGGAGCGGCAAGTCATCATATTCACGCAGTGGGATATGCTAATATTGATTCAGGTATTGTGCTTGCACACGGTTTACAGAATACATTGTTTAACCACCTGCACGTGCTTCAACTCATAATCCTTCTATATTCGATGTAAATATGTTTAGTTTGGCGCCTGTTTTTCGGTTTGAATTGAAATATATATATCCTGGCTGTGACGTGCATTTGGATTACTAGTCTCGTATGAAATATATGTCTGGCGTGGAAATATTTCCAGGGTGTATGCATCACGATGACGTTTAATCACAATAGTCTAACGTCTTTCCCTTGATGGTAGAGGATGGATGTGAATATAACATGATAAGCAGAGGACACTGACAGACCAGGGCCCCCCTTTCACAAAGCATTAATGTAATCGTAAGTCACTAAGGTAACCTTAGTGCAGTGTTAAAGAATGGGAGTTAAGGTTAACCTTAGTAAAGGTTGCTTCGTGAAAGGAGCCCCTGTACGATTCACATTGTCCTTCAATGTATTCACAGTGTCCTTAATTGTATTCACAGTGAACTATGTTGTATTTGCATATTTTTGCTGATTTATTGTATGGAGTGTTCTGATTGTTTATTCAAAGTGGGCGGTGGGGTAGCCTAGTGGTTAAAGCGGTCGCTCGTCATACCGAAGACCCGGGTTCGATTCCCCACGTGGGTACAATGTGTGAAGCCCATTTCTGGTGCCCCCCGCCTAATATTGCTGGAAAATTGCTAAAAATGGCGTAAAACTATGTTCATTCTCCCCCTCGTCACTTGTTTATTCCAAGTTCTGAAAGTACCATTTATTGTATTCGAAGTGTCCTTTTCTGTATTCACGGTGCACGTCAGTGTTCTGATTGTGTATTCAGTGTATTCACAGTGCCCTTGTATCGGAATGTCCTTTATTGTATCCGCTCGAGTGTCTTTGATGTTTACTTTTTGAGCAACTCAAGAGTATATATGGTGCTGAAAAACTGAAAAAAGAGTAGTCTGCTTGTTTAATATATCAGCCGCAAAAGCTTCGTCAAGGCGGTGTGCAGATAATCGGTATGTGAGTAAATGAATTTAGTTTTACGCCGCTTTGTACCTATGTGGGGAATCGAACCCGGGTCTTTGGCGTGTCAGCTTGATGTATGAAGAGGGACCAAAGTGGTTAAAGCGTTCGCTCGTCACACCAAAGACGCGGGTTCAATTCCCCACATGGGTACAATGTGTGTAGCCCATTTCTGGTGTCCCCCGCTGTGGTGCTGCTGGAATATTGCTAAAAGCGGCGTAAAACTAAACTTATTCACTCGCTCACTAAAGGTAATCCGGGGTGCAAATTAGAATTACCATCGCAGTGTAACATAGACATGGAAACTGTACAGAAGGCGTGACGAGCGATGACTTTAACCACATGGCGAGCTCCCGATCCTAGAGGGATTATACATGTACTATACGAAACAGCCATAAATTTAACCACAACGGTGGCCATGACGAAAATGTGTTTATACATACGTGAGAGCATTTGCATGGGAGTAAAACGTTCGACGTAATTCAGAGCAGTAAACCATTTTTAACAAGTTATGCGTCTTCACAATGCGTTAGGGTGACCGACACAGTGGAGACCAAGCAGGTTTGCAGTCATCAGAGTCCAGTTCACGATAGTACAAACGTTGCATATTTAAAGCTCAGCACAGTTGTATTTTGTTTTGGATGGCGACTTTTTCTCGTAAGTAAAAAATAGCACTATAATGTCCTTTTAGGGGTAGTTGGTGTAGCCGAGTTGTTAAAGCGTTTGCTCGAAGGCCGGGTTTGATTCCGCACATGGGTACAAGCCCATTCTGTGTAAGGCCCATTCCCTGGCGTCCCTCGCAGAGATAATGATGGAACCTCTCTAAAAGAAACGTGAAACTAAATTCAATCCCTCACTCACACACTTCCTCCCTCCATGTGACCACATCCACATGAAATACACGTGAATTCTATTTTCAGCATGGTTATGGCCATGCCGGAAGACCCCGATGAAGTGTGTCAGCAGTTGGTCGACAGCGTTCAATCTGATGGAGAAGTATCCCTTCAAGATGGCATTTACTCAGGTAAAAATTGTCAAATTTGAAGAAAAAGCTTTGACAAATATGACGACAAAAGAGTACTTAGAAAACAGCAGCCTTCCATGTCACAAACATGACGGCAATTCGCTATGTATTGTCAGAGTAAACAAACATATGAATCTCAAATGATACTACTACGTAATGCGTATTCATTTAGAGTGGTTAAAGGGGCGGTGGGGTAGTCTAGTGGTTAAAGCGTTTACTCGTCACGCCGAAGACCCCACTTGGGCTCAATGTGTGAAGCCCATTTTTGATGTCCCCCGCCGTGATATTGCTGGAATATTGCTAAAAGCGGCTTAAAACCACACTCACTCGATCAAACATGGGCGTAAGATACTTCATTCGCTTTCTCTGTGGCGGAAACGTTGTGCTTGTTTTCATGGGTATTCAACAATGAATGGAATCATTGTAACTCAGATTAATATCGATTTGTTTTCAGCCTCAGCAGTTACAGTGGGTTGGAGAAAAGTACCCGGACTTTTACAACAGGGTGAAGTATTTCATCAGCACCGGCCAGCTCCTTCCAGTAGGCGCTACCTGGATAGAAATGGTCAGTACCAGGTTCCATTCCCACATGGATAGAATTCTGGGTTTCCCAGCCATGATTCCTGGAACACTGCTCATCCCCTTAAACCGTGTTAAGCATTACCGAGGTCCATGATTAAGACGAAGTCAAAGATACTTGTCGTAAGAGGCGACCGGGTGGTCAGGCTCACTGACATGGTTGACACAAGTCATCGTATTCCAGTTGCGTAGATTGATGTTCATGCTGTTGATCATAGGATCGTATAGTCCAACCAACCAAACATAGTAATATCGGTATTATATATTTATATATATGTGTGTGTGTGTGAGAAAGAGAGAGGGAGAGAACTGATTATTGTTTTTAATCACAGGATGCAAACCTGCCGAATGGAGAGTGCCTATTGCGACAGTTTCTTTATGGCCAAAGGTTCCTTCAACACGAGTTTGGGAAAAGATGTACAGACGTAAGTGTGTTTCCTGCTTGTAAATATTTTGTGGACGCCAGCCAGGAAGAGTTGTCGATATGATGTATACTCTTAAAAAAACAGTAGTGGAACCTGAACTTTTAATTGGGATAGGAAGTATAAGCGTTAACAAATTTTTCAAAGACAGACATCTTATGAACGCACCCCCATTTCTCTTTATCACAACCCCTAAACACAACGCATGGGTTGCACGTGCAAACCGCAGTAGCGCCATACACGTGCATGGGGTGTCATTCATGATTTTAAGTTCCCCTACGTTTTGCAGAGTATAATATTGATAATATTAGCACGTATCTCAGTAGCTTAAAAAACTATTTCAACACATTTACGAATAAATTTAAGGTGAGGTGAGGTGAAATTGGGTTTAACGTCGTGCTTGAGAATATTTCGCTCATATGAATAAATCTAAATACAATGACAACAGTTGTTTGCAAACCCTGCATTTATCATTCCATTCTTTCACGTTGCTCACGTACGTCACTTTAGACACCAGACATGTTTTTGAATTGACTACAGACATCTCATTTTAGTCACCATAGACATCTCTCGTGCGAAAGTATGGATATCTAAAGTAAAATCTCTGGAGACACTTGACGCAACCCATCGTGTATGGACATCTCACAAATTTGTTCTCCTATTGACATCTGTCGTACGTTACGTTATACAACGTACGTCACTATAGACACCGAACATATCCCATACGACAATATGAACACCTCACGTACGTCTTATATAGACGCATCCCATACGACAATATGGACACCTCACGGTGCGTCTCACATTGACGCACCTCATGGGACAATATGGACACCTCACGGTGCGTCTCACACTGACGCACCTCATGGGACAATATGCATGCATGTCAAACATATACTCAGTTCATGCGAAAATGTGTATACCTCACCTAAATCACCATAGCCACTTCACCATACTGTCCTATAGGCGCCTCCCATACGACAATGTACACCTCTCGTTCGACAATATGGACTCGCAAAAATCTGAGCCAGTAAATACGATTTGATGACAATTGATGAGAGAGCATGTACAATGAGCTCCCCCCCCCCAAAATTTGCCAGAACAAAATGGGTGACACCCCTAAAATCATCATCACGCTTGCACGCACGCACGCACGCACACACACACACACACACACACACACACACACCTAGCCATAAATTGTTCGTTTTAGATTTGAACACTGACATTACACACATGAAAATGTTATGGTATTTTATCTAACATCTCTACCCTGTGCTATTGATATTATGCAGCTCAATATATTTGACAGAAGCTGTGTTTGTTTCCTCAGTTGTGGCTACTGGACAGCTTCGGCTATTCGGCCCAGCTGCCTCAGATCATGAAGCACTGTGACGTCACGAGATTTGTTACCATCAAACTCAGCTGGAACTCCGTCAACAAATTCCCGGTATGTTATTCTCTACTTCGGCAAGGTTTACACGTTTCAAACACCGATGTCTCCATCAGTGATGTGTCGAACTCCCGGCTGTCTCGAAGTAAAAGCTGGTTCCCTGCAAATTCCATATATAGCCATAATTTGGTGGCTGGGTCGAACCTCGGATAGCTCGAAATATCATTTTGTCTCCTCAACCTCGACACAACGGTGTACGAGTATATGTTTAGCTGCTGTACGATAGCCGATTGTAAATACTCGAATTTGGACCAGGTAAAACAGTGTGAAAATACATAATAATGATATTAGAGACCGGAACTTCTCTAGCATCGAACGAAAGTGCAGTGTAAGTCTGACATGCAAAAATTAAAGAACGAGTTTCTTCTCATTGCTAAACACAGCTTCCAAACACGACAATGCTTTAAGCAGAAAGTGACACATTCATCCACGGCACGTTTTCGATGGGAGCCACCCATGCCTACATTTGTGGAAACTTTTGCTGCTCCTGTGATGCTGTAGCTAACCTGATGCAACGTTACAGCCACATCGGCCATACATCAGACAGGCCAGGAACAGGTTGACATAGGATAACTACGCCAAATGAAGACCGGTATCTTTGTATCTCCGGATTCAATTCCCGACGGTATCGTCATCAGCAACGAATGCTTTGGGGCATATGGTCAGTCGGCAGACAGTGGCTCAAGATATTTGGCTCACATACCTTACAGAAAACGGGTATTAACAACGCAAAATTGTTGTCAGAGACTGAGATGGGCCCTTACGTTATGTAGTGGACAGCGACGTGATTGGCAGAGGGTCGTCTTCACTGATGAATGCTGGTACTGTGTGTCCAGAGCTGATGGAAGGCGGCATGTTGACTGCCACAGGGGAAAACGAATGGCGGGCTGCTGAGTTGAGTTGATTTGAGGACCTCGTGCCGTGTGTTGGAGGCGTTATGATGAGAGGAGGCATTTGTGATCAGGAGAGAACAAAACTGGTCATCGTTAACAGAGGTTTGACAACTCAGCGTTACAGGAATGCCATTATTCGTCCAACTGTTTCATCATTTCTAGGACAGCTACCTCGTAGTGCCCTTTGTCAGCATGAATAATACAGAACGTCCTTGTAGCAACAACGTCGACGTGCTCCCTGGCCTGCACGCCATCAAGACATGTCCCCAAAAGAACACCCCTGGGATGTCATGGACAGTCGTATTGGACAGCTACCACATCCTCCAGCCAACCAAAAAGAACTGATCTAGGCTCTCCAAGACGTCATTAGAACTTGAGCGATTTTTAGATGTGTGTGTACCCGTGAAGATCTTCAGAATTGATCTTCAGTAACCCATGCTTGTCGCAAGAGGCGACTAACGGGATCGGGGGGTCAGGCTCGCTGACTGGGTTGACACATGTCATCGTATCCCAATTGCGTAGATTGATGTTCAAGCTGTTGATCCCTTGATTGTCTGGTCCAGATCCGATTATTTACAGACCGCCGCCATATAGCTGGAATATGCTGAGTGCGGCTTAAAACTAAACTCGCTCACTCACTTTAGATGTGTGTGCCGACAGCAAATTACGTTAAACGATTGTACTGCAACGGAAGCCCAGTTCGAGCAACTGTCATTTCACCATCGGTTGTTGTATGTCTGTCTGTTTACATATTGATTTTGTTGAGATTTCGATATTTTCAATGCAGTTTCTTTCATGAATCCACCTTTAGTATTTTTTTTAGAAACAAACAAACACACACACACACACACACACACACACACACACACACACACACAAACCAACAAACAAACAACAAACACACACACACACACACACACGCACGCACGCTTCGAGACAGCACAACACAGCACTGCACAACACGTTAAATCAAATCTGCTGCCGAAGGGTTAGATGAATCTATTATCTTTCAGCACAACACATTCTGGTGGGAGGGTCTAGGTGGACACCGGGTGTTGGCGCACTTTCCTCCTGGCACCAACTACCACAAGGAAGTGACAGTGGAAGAGGTAGGTTCTATTCTCTATGGGAGCTAGAGAGTTAATCGGGCGGCCCAGTCGTGAAAATTGTGAAAGGATAAATAAGTAAAATAGTGTATCTATCGGTAGCTTACGGTGTATATGAACAGTGGTTAAACATACACTTATGACGCAGTCTTTGTACGGTGAAAAGAGAGCAGTCGCTAAAGACACGCCGCAATTCCTGGTGCAAAGTTGCGATCTATGATCGTGCGTTTGAAGTCCAGTTCGCCCCGATTATGTTTTCCCTTGTGGGTTATACCGAAGTGGGAAATATTTGAGGCCTGCATTACATATACTGAGCTCTAAGAACTGCTGTTACCACAACGTATTTGCGCGTGAATTAATCGTTCATTCGTAGCACTGCTGTTTCATTATTTCAAGTTTGCGTGTGCGTCTTTTTGGACATGTTTATGTTTAGGAATATTCATGGAAATGTCAAGCTTGTTTATCCGGACAGCGGAAGGTCGCGGGTTCGATCCCCGACCGCGTAATACCAAAAGACGTTAAAATATGGTACTTGTTGGTCCCTGCCTGGCGCTCGGCATTAATGGGTACAACAAGGACTGGTCGGCTCGGAGTCAGTATAATGTGTCTGAGTGGGGTATTCATGCTTCACTGCGGCGTGGAAGTATCCGAGTGAGCAGGCACTATAAAACCAGCTTAAGTCTTGGCTAGTACAAGCAGCCGCACATACACATACACACGCATGCACGTAGTCATATGAGCGAAATATTCTCAAGCACGACGTAAAACCAAATTTCACCTCACCTCACCTCAAGCTTGTTTATACAATCGTATATCAGAAATATTACTTTTTTACAAATGAATCAGTACAAGGTTTTTATATACAGTCATATTTTGTGTTTAGGTGTTGCAAGTTGAGCGGGAGTTTTCCGAATCTGGCAGGTCAAATTCAAGTCTGTTCCTGTTCGGACACGGGAATGCTGGGATTGGTCCAAGGTGAACAGATCAGGCCACTTGTACCGACAATTGTCCCCTTGGCAGGGGAGTTAACGGCCTCTAGTCAAGTTTTCACCCTTTCCGTGCACGGAGAGAATTACCTGACTCGATCGTAGCGTCACCAGTGACAATTACAAGTTTTGTCCCTTTCACGGACCTCCTAGACAGATTCCATGATTATGTAATATATCTTTTGCATTTGCTTTATACAAACTGGCGGTGACTTCTAATGTACAATCAACATGTTTATTGTTATAAAACTGATCTAATTTCACGAAATGCATGAGCCTTCTTGAGCAACATGACAAATTTAGAACATGTGGACGACCAGTTGATTGAACAAGTGCTGCAATCGACCAATATGGCAGTTTGCGAATCTTATGTCGATTTCGTTACCCAGTTTCAATTTGACAATGCATATGCTCCACACAATCTCTGCAACTGTGCATTGAATGCATTGGGCAAGCCAATTAAGTGTCCTCACACATCAACTGACATGATATAACTGAAATACCGACGAGTGAGTGAATTTGGTTTTACGCCGCTTTTAGCAATATCACGGCGGGGGACACCAGAAATGTGCTTCACACATTGCATCCATGTTGGGAATCGAACCCGGGTTTTCGCGTGATGGGCGACGGCTTTAACCACTAGACTACCCCACCGCCGCAAAATACTGACGTGAAGGCCTTCACCGTAAAACCATCCAAAATTCACTCTATGCCCGAGAATTTATCTTCAGCAACCGATGCATGTCGTGAGAGGCGACTAACGGGATCAGGTGGTCAGACGTGTGCGTAGATCGATGATCATAAATGCTGTTGATCACTGGATTGTCTGGTACAGAAAGACAGTTTACAGACCGCAGCCATATAGCTGAATCCGGCTTTGAATGAGAAAAAATAGATTTACTCCCTCGCCTACTCACCCTCCTACCCGCCCACTCACTCACTCACTCACGGTGCCACATGACGTGAATTGCAGATAAAGGTCTTTTTAAGAATGAAACTGCACCAATTAACAACGCCGTTCTCTTGTGCTCTCTGCCTTGCCTTCCCACTATAAACAATGTCACATCGTCATCAAGATTTACATGTATATTTCAGCGAAGAAATGTTGGAAAAACTGCAGAGGATGAAAAACCTGAATGGACTCCCCGGGTAATGCATATATATGTCAAGTATGAATTACAATGAAACTGTCACTAACGATTTATGGCTAATCTCTTGGTTAGAGTTCAGGATTAGAATAAGTCCTTTGTGACTTGGTCGATTGTTTATTCGAGGACATGGATGGTTTTTTTTATAATATCAATCACTCTATTATTCGCCTGGGCTCTGCTGGAATATTGTGGTACTAAACAATGTTGTTATGATAACGAAACCATAAAAACGAAAGCGGACCTTTGAAAGAGCACTCGATAGGAAGGCCGCATTTCTGGATAGTCCGGAATAGACAGGTCTAAGTTCAACATAATGTAAGGAAATGATTTTAAACACTGATCACTTTTCAATTATCTTTTTACGTTAATCATTGCTCGTTAAGATAAAGAAATTACAGTCAACTAAGTTCAAAACGAGCTCCAATTTTAGGGGCGTCTTATTTTAGTTCATTGTAACCGTAGTTCGTAGCATGCGGCAACAATATCTAGCAAAAATCCAGCAGAAATACCCTTATATAGTTTTATCCGTCAGTTCGTTAAATAAGTAGTTTTCTTTATTTAGATAAGTATTTTGTAAACCGTGCCTCAGGTCCAAACACGCTGAGAACATCATTTTAGTAATCAACCCATTGGTTCTGTACAGGATCCAACTGAGCACCCCTGAGACTTTCTACGAGTCCGTGGAAAAGGACCCTACAAGACTGTGCACCTGGGTTGGGGAACTATACTTGGAGAGACACCAGGGCACCTATACCTCTCAGGCTCAAGTACGTATGAATGTACTGATCGGTCGAGATCATTAGAGGATGTCATCGAGCGATACAGTAAGACGGAAGGACCTAAACATGTGGCTTAATATGATACAATCTAACTCACTTTCTGAACACACAATTCTTTAACCACAACGTCATCATTTTAACTGCATATATGTTACTTATATGTTTAAGGTGTAAGACGCTCTTGACACTTAGCCTCGCAGTATGTAAGTCTCGTTTTGGCGGGCGCAGTTCTGAAAATGAGTTCTAAGGACTGCATTTTAAGTAAGTTTTGGCAGAGTTATCTTTCTAAAATTCAGACACTGTCGTGTTCAAACAAACCGGAACAAAGACTGCTTTGTTCACATGAAAGAGAAGATGTTTCGTTTAACACTGGTTCTTTTCACAAGGTGTCTCGGTTTCAACAATGTGCTTATATAATAAGTATTGGAAGATGATCAAATATTTTATACTAAGTGTGTGTTTAGTAAAGATCAATTACAAATGTGCAAACATTCGGCATCAAATTCCAGAGCTGACCCTAGTAAGCTTTATCTCCGCCATGTATAACATAGACATTTGTCTCTACGTGGTCCCAGCAGTTTAAAATTATTTGACTAAAGACAGAAAGTGCTTTCTGCCATATATGCATGTCTGACAATGCCCGTCAAATCCAATGTTTCGATATCCGCCCAAATCTATTGAAAACTACAAAGGGCATAATCTCGACCCTTGGGTAAGAAGATGTCGAGAACGCCCTTGCACGATTTCATTGTATACTAAACACATGTTCGGTAACACTAAAATGTTTACATTTTAAGACGTCGATATGGCCATAAATAAATATGCCGAAACTATACTTATTTTTTTGTCTACAACAGGTGAAGAAGCGCAACAGAAGAGCTGAGTTTCTCCTTCGAGAGATGGACTTTTGGACGTCTATAGCTGCAGCCACATCCACAAAGGGAAACTATCGTCACCCCGGAAACGAGATGCGCCGGATATGGAAACTCCTGATGCTGAACCAGTTCCATGACGTACTTCCGGGTACATGTCATCCAGAGGTACGTTCCGAGCATCTATGGATGTAGTGGCACCTGTTGATTCCGTTGCTCCCATAGTATCTAAATGCACCGTTAGTTTGCAATTTGGTTTGAATCCCAGATTGGTCCTGTTTATGAAGCTTGCTTTGTTGTTTTTACATATTTAGGGGCGGTGGGGTAGCTTAGTGGTTAAAGCGTTCGCTCGTCACGCCGAAGACCCGGGGACAATATGTCAATCCCATTTCTGGTGTCCCCCGCCGTGATATTGCTGGAATATTGCTAAAAACTCACTCACTTACTTTAAACATTTTATTTATCAGCCTGCATCGCCTTTGATTTCTCTCTGTAGTGTACCTAACCTTACTGAAAGTCTACAGCCGAACGTTTCTGGCAATAAGGCCACTCGAACCCCCGATATTAAGTACCAGGTTTTCTGTTGAGACTTTGTAGTGTGATTGCTTTTCTAGGTGTACAAGGATTTCCACGCTCATCATGACGGTAAGTATGAAGCTTTACGCATATATGCGTATCACCTCAGTACGTAATCATGATAGATGCGCATGCACAGACGCCGCAGAAATCAAAGAGTGTGCGGAGTTGTGTCCCTTGCCAAACACGGATTCGAACGTCGGGGTCAAGATCGTAACTGATAGTGGGCCGGACTGCCAATGTTGACGTGAAAAGACTGTTGTCGGATCTCTGTATACCTACTGGGGTGATGGATAGTTCGGGATAGATTATTGATCTCTAGTAACCATGCTTGTTAGGCGACTAACGGGATCGGGTGGTCGGGCTCGCTGGCTTGGTTGACACATGTCATCGGTTCCCAATTGCGCAGATCGCAAAGATTATTTACAGACCGGCCCCATATAGCTGGAATATTGCTAAGTGCGGCATCAAAATAAACTCACTCTCTCATTCTGAATGATCACATGGAATCTGACAGAATGTTATTCATGGTACCTTTCAGAAATAGAGCAAGTGGCTGGATCCCTTTGCCAGACAGCACTTACCTATATATTGAAGGTAAGTAACTCTTGATATAGTTTATGATACCCTACTAGTAGTTAAAACGTGAATGTTTAATCTGAGAAACAATTGACATGCCTTTGCATGTGTTTGTGCCGGGTGCAACCGTCGAACACCGTTTGCGTACACCTGGTATCATTACTTTTTGATAGTGATTCATAACGCGTGCTTAAAGGATTCATACAAAGTTGGAACTGTCCCAAACACATGAAAAAGTAAATTGTTCACCTAATAGAAGAAACACAAAAAAATCCCATGGAAATATGGTACAAGTCAATAATGAAGCATACAACTTCATTGGATAACAACTTCCTGTTTATTGCACAGAGCGAACTATGTTATCCATAACGTTGCATGCTTCATTACTGTTGTTATTTGTTGTTTTACGCCGCACTCAGCAATAATCCAGCTATATCGCGGCGGTCAGTAAATAATCGAATCTGGACCAGAAAATCCAGTGATCAACAGCATGAGTATCGATCTACGCATACGATGGCATTTGTCAACCAAGTCAGCAAGCCTGACCACCAGACCCAGTTAGTCGCCCTTTACAACAAGCATGGCTTTCTGAAGACCAATTTTAATCCGGATCTTCACGGGTTACTGTCGCACCAAGTTCTAGAATGCCGATAGTACAAGTACAAACAAAAGTACGAGTCGAATTGGTGATTTTACATGGTTTATGGGTCAGACTTATACAAAGTCCTTTGTCAGTTTGTACATATCCTAGTAGTGGATACCTTACTAACGCCGTGAATGTTGTAACCCTGACCAAACAATTTCTATCGACCAATGAAGAAGTAGAAATAATAATATGAATGAATGTAATTGTTGAGAATAATTGTCGATGTTTATCACTATACGTACAGGGCTGGGATTCATTGAGACAGAAACAGGTGCACCTGTACTCGGAGCTCAATGGCTGTGTGCAGGAACCGGATAAAACCTGCAACGGGAACTCTCATCTGAGGGAAACAAATGGTAACTACAATAGCATTTACCATTCTCTTCAAGACATTCCTGATGTGTTTAATATAACCATGGTTGTGGTCATTATGAAGCAGGGGGAGGAACACATAATATAATAATAATTTAACATTTTCAAGACGTTTTAAATTTAGTTATACGGAGACCAGTGTTCTGTGCATATGATTTATAAACATGCGTAATTTCAGTTATTTATAAACATATTTATTTGACCCGTGAAGATCCGGGGTAGAATAGGTCTTCAGCAACCCATTCTTGTCATAAAAGGCGACTATGCTTGTCGTAAAAGGCGACTAACGGGATCGGGTGGTCAGGCTCGCTGACTTGGTTGACACATGTCATCGTCTCCCAATTGCGCAGATCGGTGCTCATGCTGTTGATCACTGGATTGTCTGGTCCAGACTCGATTATTTACAGACCGCCGCCATATAGCTGGAATATTGCTGAGTGCGGCGTAAAACTAAATTCACTCACTCACTCACTATAAACATATTTGATTTGGTTCTGTGGGAATTGTAGGGTGCGTTCATTAAGTACGGTACTAAATACACCTGCTAATATTTGTGTTAGAATATCTTTTCGGTCACCTTTTTGTTCGAAGACATGCAAGTAATTTTCACACAACAAAATTGTTTCAGAACATTTTGTGAAGAGTGTTGATTTGTAAAGGTTTTTGTTTTCAGTATAAAATCACATGCAATATTTTCCGGTATTTTCAGCCCATTTCCCATCCAGAATATCTAATATTCAATTATACATATCAGATGTCTTTGATATTTGTTTTCGGCGCCAGTCGATGTGCAGAGTTGTGTCCCTTAGGTGCACTAGGAACCTTTGATCATCTGTTTTATCCTGATGTTCTTATATAGTTTGTCACCACAGCTCAAAGTGCAACATCTATACATCTAAGTCATATTATTCCAGCCGTTTCTATCAACATCAAGCTGGCACCCCGTGATATAACTAAAATATCATTAAAAGTGGTGATAATTCAACGCAGGCACTCCAATATTCTTTTTTGTATATCTATTCAGGTCTATCACAGGCAAACGGCTCACCAGAATCTCCCGAGACGGAGGTACGACCAATATCGACTGCATACAACTCTGGATTAACAAGCAGATCAATAATGTTTTTCAAATGACGTTGTACCGGTAACGAGTACAAAATACATGCCTCGTCCTTTTTGAGGGCGATATATGAGTACAATTGCTAGAAGATGTAACTTGATATTACGCTCTTCCAAAATTACACACACTCTCTGAACATGTGGGTTCCACAACTGCATTGTGAAAACATAACACTTTATTCTGCTTAAATATCATTTATCTGCAAGGACAAAGGCCGGTAATAACAGAAGTAAAAGTTAGTTCTTTATTTCTAGGCCAAAGGTCAAAACAAAACAAAGCATAATGTTTCGATTCACAGTTGTGGATATTCGGTGGGTTCACACTATGAAAAACTGGCATGAAACAGTCGGATTTCAATAGCCTAAGCACATTATAATTGACTCAAGAAGTTACATTTTGTTTATATACACTCATGATATGGTAAACAGACTTTGATAAACTTAACATATTATATTAACAATTTCAAAAAGTGAATAAATGCTGTTGGGATGTTAATTATAATGTGCTCATTATTCGGGTTTGATCACAAACTCAAGCACAATATGAATAACAGGAGGACTGCCCAAACGTAGTAATAACTACTTGTTTGTGACGTTGCCAGGAAACGAATGGTGCAACTCCTGGGTGTGGTGGCATTACCATTGTTAATTCGTTGTCATGGTCCCGGAAAGAAGTAGTGAAGGTACCGGCAGACTGTTCAACTGGGAAGAATCTACAGACAGATCACCATGGCAACAGCTTTGGTAAAGGATCAGTGTCGAATTCGTTTTTAAAGTCACATTCTACTTTACAAGTACAATGTCTTATATATGCAGATGTTTCGTGTACAGGGGATGATGAAATCCTCCTGTTTCAGTCACATATTCAATCACAATTTATATCTTGTAGTGGAGGCCACAGGCCCATTCTACATTTACAACTGACTATGAGAGGGTATATACAATAACATACTGTTCGGTTATGTTACAATATGTGCAAATGACTGTCAAAGTCGCATAGCATTATATACATACACTGCTCGATTTTTTTAATTTTCTGGATTTACCTCTGACATTAACATGTTAAATTTATGTACAGTAAGATTCAAATATTAATAACGAAGGTAAAACATTAGTCAAAGAGTCAAAAATATTTATTGTACATATATATTGGAGTTATGCATATACATTATACATAAGTTGCAAAAATAGTAATTTGTTTTCCAAACAGCGAAGATCCGGGGTAGAATAGGTCTTCAGCAACCCATGCTTGCCTCAAAAGGCGACTATGCTTGTCGTAAGAGGCGACTAACGGGATCGGGTGGTCAGGCTCGCTGACTTGGTTGACACATGTCCTCGGTTCCCAATTTCGCAGATCGATGCTCATGCTGTTGATCACTGGATTGTCTGGTCCAGACTCGATTATTTACGGACCGCCGCCATATAGCTGAAATATTGCTGAGTGTGGCGTAAACCTAAACTCACTCACTCACTGGTTGACACATGTCATCGGTTCCCAATTGCGCAGATCGATGCTCATGCTGTTGATCACTGGTTTGTCTGGTCGGGACTCGATTATTTACAGACCGCCGCCATATAGCTGGAATATTGCTGTATGGGGCGTAAAACTAAACTCACTCACTCACTCTCTCACTCCAAACAGCGAATCATGTTACAGGTAAAACAGTACGTTACAAATAGTGAATTAGAAAAATGCTACCAAACTTAATATCATATTATTACGTTTAATATGAGCATAATTAATATAGTACGATAACTTTATTATTACATACTGGTCAGTTGATGAAAGAGTAATATGTCAACGACAGTTTATTCATGATAAAGTAAAATGTCCGTCTACAACCCACATCTGTGTATCTTGCCAGGTCTTGTACAAGCGCCAGGTTGTGGACTATGCAGTCTACAGTTGTGCGAGGTTTCACGTCCTGCCGCTGCAATGCTGGGGAAGGTGAGGCATACATGAATAATCATTAAGAAAAGTTAGAAGACCTTTGATTGGTTAATTGCCAATTCATATGAAACCATACTCTAAAGTTTCCCGGGTAGTATGAATCCGTCTGTTCCCCTCCGCGTCAACTGTCAACAATCATGTTTATAATGATAGTTTGTTAAACAAGTTTTTCTGTGATGCATTACAATTTCTAATAGCTGAAAAGGTGTTTGGGTATAGGTTATTCATGAACATCTTGCCTCGTAATATTTTTATTATGTACCTTTCTAAACTGATATATTTAGCAATTCATGGGGACACTTTCTAGTCAAACAGGCTGTAGTATGGACAACCTTGACATTGAAATCTAATTATTCAACTTTATTATTGTTACGAAAAGTTCTTTTTATCAAAATTTTTGAAAATATGCATTTTTATCTATAGAGTGGAAATAGATTGGACCTGAAGATATTTGTGGTACTGTTTGACCTGACGAGTCCCATAACACATGGAGTTTATGCCTACAATAGTTATATACCTTCGAATATCGATCAATAATGTTTCTGTGCTACAACAATCAAGGCGACACGTTTTGCATCCCTTACCGCGGCAACAATAGAAGATATACATTTCAAGAATGACTGTATTATGACATTCAGTAGAATTTTGCACCTAAAAAATCTTAAGGGTTAAAAAATTCGTTCCACGGCAATTTGCCATGTATTATTTGATAGTACGGCCGGGTTGAATCCATATTTCCTGCCGCCATATAGCTGGAATATTGCTGAGTGTGGCGTAAAACTAAACTCACCATATTTCCTGAGGCCCTTGGAAAATGCGGATTCAATCCTTTTCAGAATTGCAACAGATGCTTGTCGGAAGAGGCGACTAGCGGGATCGGGTGGGCAGACTCGCTGACTTGGTTGACACATGTCATCCTATCCTAATTGTGTAGATGGATAACAATGCAGTCACTGGACTGTCTGGTCCAGACCGTTGTCGTAGCTGGAATATTGCTTAGTGCGGCGTTTAACTATAACAAACATGTTCCCCGTGTCAAAATACCTTCAACATTTTAGGATGGCCTCATCCACTTGCGTAACGATCTCGTGTCCGCAACTGTAGACACACATGGCCGACTAGTGGGTCTGTGGAAGCCGGGGAGTGGAAAGTAAGTATGTGTTTCTATAATGTATTTACACATACATGAACTTATTTGAGACAAAACGTGCGTAGACCCAACCAGCTGTTTCAAGTATTTGAAATTAAACTAATGACACAATAGATCATTTCTACTAGGAATATTCACTGTAACATTTTGTGTTATATCTAATATTATTCATATCACGACTGCATATTTCATGGTAGTTTATTATCCCTCCTTATTATGTAGAAGTACTACTTCGTGATTTCCTCCCATACGAAGATAACAAACCGTGACGTGGGCGAAATGCTGTTAAATGCACTCCCCTCACATATGCATATCTTGTGTTTGAATCTAATCTTGGATTGAAAGGAATGCTTGTAGATCTCGTTATATTTAACTTCGTGGTATAACGTCATATTAAATTCAGTGGTATACCGTTATATTTAATTTCGTGGTATAACGTTCTATTTAACTCCGTGGTATACCGTTATATTTAACTCAGTGGTATACCCTTATATTTAACTTAGTGGTATACCGTTATATTTAACTTAGTGGTCTACCGTTATATTTAACTCAGTGGTATACCGTTATATTTAACTCAGTGGTATGCCGTTATATTTAACTTAGTGGTATACCGTATATTTAACTCAGTGGTATACCGTTATATTTAACTCAGTGATATACCGTTATATTTAACTTCGTGGTATACCGTTATATTTAACTCAGTGGTATACCGTTATATTTAACTTCGTGGTATACCGTTATATTTAACTTCGTGGTATACCGTTATATTTAACTCAGTGGTATACCGTTATATTTAACTCAGTGGTATACCGTTATATTTAACTCATTGGTATACCGTTATATTTTACTCATTGGTATACCGTTATATTTAACTCAGTGGTATACCGTTATATTTAACTCGGTGGTATACCGTTATATTTAACTCAGTGGTATACCGTTATATTTTACTCAGTGGTATACCGTTATATTTAACTCAGTGGTATACCGTTATATTTAACTTCGTGGTATAACCTTATTGGCGTAAAATTATGTTTAACTTATGTGGTATAATCGATGATAATTGCCAGTCTATTTGTAATTATTCAGAAACTACCTGAAAGGTTATCACCATGGTAACCAACTAGTGATGCACGACGATTTCCCCCTATATCGAGATGCTTGGGATACGCTTGATTTCAACCTGCAGACAAGGTACACTAGGGATGTGCAGGGGGTGGGGATGAGTGGGCGGGTTTGGGGTGTTTGTTCGAAGAGCCATCTGAGGCGCACCAAAACTGCTGAAGGCCTATGGGAATGCCAGACACCTATGATCCTGGGTTATATTCCAGGATTGTGATTAATTCTGGGTTCGAAAACATCATACCTCTGCTGTTAGGTTTCGTAAAAGCGGTAATATCTAACAGAAACTCATGCTCCCTTATACCGATGTGTGGGGGCGTTGAGGTAGCCTAGTGGTTAAATCGTTCTCTCGTCACGCCCGGTATTCTGGTGATGAGTAACATTTCCAGTGTACAAGCATAAGGCTATTCTTATTCCTATAGCAAATAGGGGGTGGTGGGGTAGCCTAGTGGTTAAGCGTTGGCTCGTCACGCCGAAGACTCGGGTTCGATTCCCCACGTGGGTACAATGTGTGAAGCCCATTTCTGGTGTCCCCCGCCATGATATTGCTGGAATATTGCTTAAGGCGGTGTAAAACTAAACTCAGTCAATTGTACCGATGTGGACACTGGCTTTCGCCATGGTATTCGTATTTAGAGTAAACAGGTGTGTTAGAAATCCCAGATACACATAAATCACGGTACTTTGTCTATCAGTGACGAACCCGATTTGTTAGCCAGATTAATGTGTGTTTACTGCCGTCACCTCTGTGCAAATATTCATGATCAGTTTTAATAATCACAATATCAGTGAATGGAACATGAATATACTTTCAATTTAAGACGGAGTGTTAACGATGTCGTGAAACCAGCCACCCTGGTGGAGAATGGACCGGTTCGAGTTGTGGTGGAGGTAAGCGTAAAGGTCATTACAGCACGATGCAAGTTACGAGTAACTCGTCATGATGTCGTGAAACCAGCCACCCTGGTGGAGAATGGACCGGTTCGAGTTGTGGTGGAGGTAAGCGTAAAGGTCATTACAGCTCGATGCAAGTTACGAGTAACTCGTCATGATGTCGTGAAACCAGCCACCCTGGTGGAGAATGGACCGGTTCGAGTTGTGGTGGAGGTAAGCGTAAAGGTCATTACAGCTCGATGCAAGTTACGAGTAACTCGTCATGATGTCGTGGCCAGTAAAACAGGTACATATAATGCTACTTTGGGTCATTTATTCCGTTATATAACATTTCATTATTTATTAACCATAATGTGTCTGGACTATTTCTTCAAGCGGCATAAAACAGGCGCGTAGCAAGCCAATTTTTGTGTGTAAGCCTGATAGGTTGCAAAGCTTCTAAATTAGATATTATCGAGGGCTTCCCCAACCGTTTAGCAACGATCATGTGTAAGCCCGGGCTTTTTTTAATAATGGTATCTACGCCCGTGTAACAGTACCATACTCAGTCATTCATTCAGTTTGTGAAAACACCACTGTCTGTTGTGTGTGAATGTTGGTGTTATATGTGTACATTTCATTGTTATTTGTGTTAATTCAGAAGTACTGCAACATAAGATTACATCATCTTTAAGTGATTCAGCATTGCACGCGTGTTTTGATCAGGTGTGTGTGCGGGTCAGTGAGACGAGTCACGTGACGCAGTCCATCATTCTGGACACTGAGTCTCCCTACATCAAATTTCACACCCAGGTGAGAGTTTATGTCAAGTTCAGTTTTGAAATCAGAGGAATAACCACCTAAGTAAGTATCACATGGATATGTAAGGATGCCCCTCCAAATTGGCTATAGGTCCAATAACCAAATTACTATAATGTGTGAAGCCCAAGTTTTTGAATATATATCCAGCCTTTTATCCATATCTCAATCCATGTTATAATTGTATCCTGTGGTAAACCGGTATGAGAGCCACAAGATGTTTAAGCTGTTTAAATGTATGATTGTGCCACAATCACACAAGGTATTTTTTTAATAACACTTTCCCAGTAAAGTACAGGTTCTAGTACTCTTATTGAGTTAAGTCCCATCCGGGATTCGAAACCACACCCTCAGAGTCGGGTACCTATTCCGCCGTCTTACTAACTCATCCACCGCGGCTTCCGCAAAATTGGAAGTCGGACAACGGGTAGTCAAGACAAGACTCTCTGATGAGTGTAAATTGGCACGGCTCCAACGGCCGAAAGCTACGAATACACAATTTCATTTAGAAAGTGGTCAAATGTAACGCTGTTATATTTGGGATTACACTTACTCAGTACTGAAGTGCTTTTATAATTATCCTCTACTCGAAAACAGGTAAGTTGATACATTCTTGAAAATGCCCACTCCACTGTGACACTGTCTGTACACATGTTTCACCTATCGGCTACCACTATCCTAGGTGAGCTGGCATGAGTGCCACAAGTTCCTGAAGGTGGAGTTCCCCACCAGCATGACGTCATCGCAGGCAACCTACGAGATCCAGTTTGGCTACCTTCAGAGACCCACCCACTACAACACGTCCTGGGACTCAGCCAAGTACGAGGTATGGCGTTAACGCTGAACATGATGGGTATTTTGTTCATTGTCACTGCTGAAAATACGCATTGTACTACTGCTTTCTAGATGCCCCCTTCCCTTCGTGACTTTGTACCATCGGGTCATTCAACACATGTTCCGAGTTAATTCAAAACACGTTCTATGTCAAGTCCACAGATGTTCCATTGAATTCCACAAACGTCCTGCCTTAATCTGAAAACGTACAGGGATAATCCTACAAACGTTTCGTGTTTATTCCACTAAGTTCAGATTTAATGATCCCCGTTAAGTCCATAAATTTTCCATAGAATTCCGCAAACGTCCCGCGTTAATTCCGCAAATGTCCTGTTTTTATTCCGCAAACGTACAGGGATACTCCTACATACATTCCGCGTTAATTGTAGGAATGTTCAGAGTTAATTTCACTAACTTTCTGTTTTAAAACCCCAGATGATCCTTGTTAATTCCACAAATGCTTCATATCATTTCCGAAAATAGCGAGTGTCGTTAATTCCGCAAGCGGAAGTGTTAACCCTGAACATCCGAAACGGTCATTTCACGAAAGCTGTTTTTAAGAATCACTTAGTTTATTTTCGCTTGATTTCAGATATGAGGGATTTTGGGATTCTTGTAAGTCGTGTAAGATGATTTTGAATTAGAGGAGAAATAATAGGCGCAATACAACTGACGTGCTTAAACAGGATTCTATAAACACTCTGCAATATGGCGATAGGTTAACTTCGGCGTCCGTATCTGCGTATTTTCCAAAACATCCCTAGCGATTCTTGGATCATCGACGACGTTTCAGAATGATCATTGGTGATTTGATCAAACAGCCAGAAGAAAAATAAAACTACCCTTGATCACGATACATTGCTGTTTTGACATTCAATAAACATTCAGTATCTAGGTGTTAAAACTCTTCCAGGTTTGTAGTTATGCCTTTTCTATGCAAAAGCTTGAATACGTTTAGAGCTGTTCACGTAAAATGACGGTCAGACACCATGATGGTAAAAACAGGAGGCTGCGCATCCAGACGAGTCGACCACACACACCTGTACCTACACTACGTGAAATCACAGGCCCTCGTGTCCTTGCGAGGATTAAAGATTTTTAAAAAAATAGAAAAAATTGAGATGACCCCGACACGAAATGCTTCACAGTACAATACATTATGCCCTTGTCATGATGTTTTAAACTGTGAAGCATTTCGAGTCTGTGGTCATCTCAAAATCAGTTTTAATCATTAAAGCGCGCATAGACACGAGGGCCAGTGCGTGAAATGGCTCTAATCAGTCTATCGACGCCATTCGTTTATCAATTGTCAAAAAAGATGTCATATTGCAAGGGAATGAACCATGGTGTGTTGATAATGGAAATATAACTCTCGGTAAATGTGCCAAAGATGAATCGATAAAGTGCAAAAATATAAAATAATAAAAAATAAAAATAGATAAATAAATAAATAAATTAGTTGTGATATATGCACCGTTTTGACTATGAAACTACTTGATAAGTGTAAGACAAAATGGTTTGTTTTCGTGTGAACGTAAGAGGAAGGAAGTTATGAGCAGCATGGTACCTGTATTTCAGATGAAACCTATTAGCGAAAGAGCCTCCACCTTTATTGTCATAGCACAGCGTGGGGCGGTGGGGTAGCCTAATGGTTAAAGCGTTGGCTCGTCACGCCGAAGTCCCGGGTTCGAATCCCCACATGGGTACAATGTGTGAAGCCCATTTCTGGTGTTCCCCGCCGTGATGTTGCTGGAATAATTGCTAAAAGCGGCGTAAAACCAAACTCAGTCAGTCAGTTAGCACAGCGTTTACCATGACAATTAGGCCTTTTCTTGACCTACATGCATTTGTTACATCGTTAATAAAAAGTGAGTGAGTGAGTTTAGTTTAACGCCGCACTCAGCAATATTCCAGCTATATGGTGGCGGTCTGTAAATAATCGAGTCTGACCAGACAATCCAGCATGAACATCGATCTACACAATTGGGAACCGATGACATGTGTCAACCAAATCAGCGAGCCTGACCCGTTAGTCGCCTCTTACGACAAGCATGGGTTACTGAAGGTTCATTCTAACCCGGACCTTCACGGGTGTAAATAAAAAGACAAAAAAATACCAAAAACAAACACAACAAAACAAAATCCAAAGAAAAAAAAGAAGCATCAAAGAAGTTGAAAAATGTCATATATGGAGAAGTGTACAGCCTTCTGACATAACGCTGAATATAGGATAAAGAACGGGTCAGAGGCAGTTAAAAGTCGGGTCAGAGGCAGTTAAAAGTCGGGTCAGAGGCAGTTAATGGAAGGGAACCTGCCAAATACTCCAAACTGTCAGGACTTTGCAATATTAAGCGATCCTCTATTTCAAGCTCTGTATTGTCACAACGTAATGTTCACAGGTCTGTGGACACAAATGGGCTGACATCTCTGAACATGGTCGTGGGGTGGCGCTTCTCAATGACTGCAAATATGGCTATTCGTGTGTAGGTGGAACTCTCCGGCTCTCGCTGTAAGTAAGCAGGACATATCATCATCATCATCATCATCATCACTACCGTCACCATTACCATCAAATCACCACCATACTTCCATAATCCTGACGAATTCGTAGTTCATTGGCACCGTGCAAGACCAAGCCCAAGACCTGTTCAGTGTGGCGTGAACCCACTCTCACAATACCTGGTAGATGGAGACATCTTACCAAAATCATACGCTCAGAACCCGATCATCAATGATAAAATCTCATTTACAACTTTACCCTAAAGCTAAATTTTGCGTGAGTCAAGTCTGTTGAAGAACGAAAATAACAATGTAAACCCCAACTCCCCCACGCACCCTTATAATATACCTGCAATTAGCGTTCATTATCATAGTCATGCTCGTGATCATAGTTTGCCATTCTGATATAGATGAGTGAGTTTAGTTTTACGCCACTTTTAGAAGTATTCCAGCGAGGGAAACCAGAAATTGGCTTTTAACGCATTGCAGCCATATGGAGAATTGAACCCAGGTCTTCGGCATGACGAGAGAACGCTTTAACCGCAAGGGCAACCTCTAATATAGATGAATTTGTATTTAACAAATGTCATCCTTTATTTACAGATTGAGGTCGCCTACAGCTCCTGACACCAAATGTGATATTGGGGACCATGAGTTTACTTATGCAGTTATGCCTTATACAGGTAGAACGTAGTTGAAAAATAAAACTAAATTTGAGAATTAATATTGTGTTTGAAAATTACACGTGAACCTTTCCATCATATCTGTTAGAGTCGAACACTGGACATAACAGCGAAGGCAGAGTGGTCTTTGCAACTTTAATGCCCCTATGAACCGGAATTAGTAGCAATATTTTACAAATGGGCAGATCGACTTGCAGAGTTATGTACCTTAGCCGAAACAGGATCGGCTTATTGTTGATTTACAATGGTCTTGATCCATAATATGTCAGTACCACCCATCTGCCCTGTGTTTCACGTCGGTGCTTATACGTTTACCAATTGCCCCGCGTTGGTTAATCCTTTCACATCATACTTGTGTGAAATGCCCAGCAAACTGTTCACAGCGGATTTAAGCCTCGGAATGAATCTGTTGGTTTATCCTTTGATGTACTACAAACTTACTGGTTTTAATTGAGGCTAAAATATAAATCCCTATTTGAAAGATAAATATTTTTGCTATGATAGATATGTGCATAATTGTGTGAAAGTGAAAGTTATAACTCACATATATGGATTCTTCTTTGGTCTAGGTACATTTCAAGATGCCGGAGTCATCCAAGAGGCCTACAATCTGAACTCCCCTCTAATCCTGCGTCCTAGCCTCGCTTTGACTCTACCACCAGATGGAATCAGCTACTTCCGGTTGGATACAAACCAGGTTGTCCTCGAAACCGTGAAAGTAGTAAGTACAGTATGACAAACGGAGTTGCTACTGAGGTAACAACAGTTAAATCATTAAGGTATTCACTACTCTGATCTATCCTGTTTTCTCGCGTAATTGACTTAAAACTCTCCGATGTATTAAATACATATGGGTGCGCAATGCATCACTCACTCGCCACATTAGATGTTTCCACTTCATGCCATGGAATGTTGTTTAGTCTCTGACTGTGAATGGGGAACACAAGAGGCACAAGATTGTCACGAGAGATGATAAACCTTCGTTTCTGGTCAGCAATCAGAAGCCCTGGATCCCAAATTCCTGAAAACGTTGTCAGAATGTTCTCAAAACTCCAATAAGACATACCTACTGGAATGGATTTGTCACGTCCACTGTGGTCATTCATTATTATGTAATGTGTTTTGTCAACCTTTCCGAAAGTAGTGGTGATCGAAGATCATTACCTCGGAATATCTTCAACACACTTAAACTCTGCTTCCCATCAATGCGTCCACATGGATTGCTGTAGGAGCTGTAGGCCATTTCAGATGATGATGCAATCAGTATTGTTCATATTTATCAGTAGGCAATACGCATACCTAGTTCGCTGAAATATGATGCCTAGTTGTGTTTGTGCACCATGCAAGTATGAACAAGTAGTTAGGTTCGTATCTTTTCAGCCACCTTGGCTATTCTGCTATGTAGTTGGTTTTATCATCTTTTTGTTGCTTCCTTAGTCCGAAGAGGATCCACGAAGTCTGATTCTGAGGTTGTATGAATCGTTCGGCGGAAGTGTGTCGGCCACACTGAGTACCTTGCTCCCAGTTTGGAGTGTCTCCAGGTAATCAAGTTAAAACATCGCTGCGAAGGGTTTCATCGTCTTGTTTATAGTAGGATCGGATCCAAGATACTTTCTCTGGAACCCTTGTCAACATCTTACTCTTAGGTATTGATTACGATTAGAACAGTTAGTAGGGCTGGTGTGTGCGTGTGCGTGCGCATTCAAGTGAGTAATTTAATGAGTTAGGGCGGTTCCTCATGTAACAGAGCATGTGTGTCTGTCAGTGTGGTCTACCTGATGTAACATGTTGGGACGTTTTGAGGTGCCCTATAAGTAAACCTGTTGCTTCTCTCTTTAGGTGTTTACTGGGGAGTTATTACAACTTCTCATTATACACTTTTGCAGATGCATATTAACTTAGACAGCATTATTAAATGGGGCTATGCTTGCCAAGATCCAGTATATGGCACTTTATTTTCTGCCAATTTGTCGTTGCAGGTGTAACGGACTAGAGGAGATGCTCGACGATGAGCAGGATGTTCAGTTCACCCCTGGTCACACTGCGACAATACGCATATCTCTGGATCCATTCCAGATACTGTCGCTGATAGCTCGCTTCTGAAAAAGAAGCCGGTGCTAACTCGCTAGCAAATGTATCATTTGATGAGTCAGGCTTAATGGAGAACTTTCTACCCATACTTGTTGTCAGAACTGGTACAGGAGGATTGGCTCACTGCCAAGGATCAAATCACCCGCCTTCGGATTATCACATTTTCCCTTCAGAGGATAAGGACTCCCCTCATGTTAAAACTCCTCTGAATAAAACATTCCATTTGTACTTTCTACATACAATATTGACGATTAGTAGCGCCCTACTCTTTTTATCCCCCGCAACGCGTTTTGCGGGGATATGATTTTGGATCCTGTCCGTCCGTGCAAATTCTTCTTTTTCGGAGCAGAACTTAAAACCGTTCAATGTTTCTTCACCAAACTTGGCACATGGATAGGTCTGGTGGTGAACTGGTGCCTTTAGGTAGTTTTGGAGTTCTGAATAAAATATATTTGCTTTTGACATTGACTGAAATTGGTGGTAGTGCTCCTTTTCAATACTCTCCTTCCACTTTGTGGGTATTCAAGAACCTAATGTCATAAATCAACAGTACCGCTCTATTTCCAGTATCAACATATCTGAAGTACATCAAACCGTGGAAGCACTCAGACAGACTGTTGTTGATACATGCATGCTAGTATATGAATAGTTTAAATATATGTGTTTTGTTGGGTGAAGTCATGACTAGTTGACATATCATGAAGAGTAGTTTACCATTGCGGGGGATATTGATGACTTTGTCCTCTTGTTAATAAAGATTTGAATGACATGGCGAATGGGTTGTTCACCGACACATCCACCCTGCTTCATGAGTAGCTCGGGTCAATGACGGGTTTATATAAAACTTTCCTCAGGCGTTCCAAGAACATATGGTTGTGGGTCTGGATTTGGAGTGCAGCTTTAATCAGCAACCTTACTTCTCGTATTGTAGCCTTCGATCCATCAACCTGACCTGACCTGACCAAGTTCGCTCTATTTTTTATGAAAACGTTTCTTGTTGTTGTCGTTAAAGTCTTATTGTTAAATAAATGTAGGTATTTAAAAGTAAGTGTTCATGTTATTTTTGTATTTTTGTAAGTAATAACTTGAATATTCATCGCAAACATGAGATACCCTGAGAGAAGAAGTATTCATGGATTTGAGCCTTCCAGCCTTTCAAACAGACCTTGATCCCCGAAGGATTCGTCGTGTTTAATTCGCAGAGGTTGCTATAAACGCCCTCAACGTCAGTTTAAATGTATACATTTAGCTACGATTACGTATCGCCTACAGAATTCCGATCGGACTTTATATATTGTGTGTTATAAGGGATACGTATCATATGTCGCTCGTCTACATTGCATGTTTCACCTGTGTATGGTATTTAACCATCACATGCCCGTGCTGTCCTCTCAGGGAGCATAATCACTTATTTTCATCCTATCAACCCAGCCACTATTTTCATATATGATTTGCGTCTTTGCGTTGGCATATTTGTGCAGGCTGTTTTAGATTGCGATAAATTGAAAGCCCGTTAGGAGTGAGTTGCGACCCTTAGACGTGCCAGAATCCAGTGATCTTGGTTTCAGATCCCAAATTTGCCCTGATAATATGTATCTTGGTTGGTCAGCAATCATGCCTGTGCTAGTGCTTCATTACAGTGGATACGATTTGCCTGAAGGACCTTAATACCAAACTAACCTGACTCACCGAAGTATACCCAAATACTCTAAAAAGTATGAAACTGTTAAAAATCTTTTCAAATCATGTCTACATGTCTTGCAGTGGTGTCTGGAAACATTGTCCCATATAATGTGATATGGCCCCTGCCTTTGGTTTTGGTTTCATTCCTTCATGACCCGTGAAGATCCGGGTTAGAATTGATCTTCAGCAACCCATGTTGATGTAAGAGGCGACTAACGGGATCGGGTGGTCAGGCTCGCTGACTTTGTTGATACATGTCATCGTATCCCAATTGCGCAGATCACTACTCATGATGTTGATCACTGGATTGCCTGGTCCAGACTTGATTACTTACAGACCGCCGCCATATAATGGAATATTGCTGGGTACGGCGTAAAACTAAACTCACTCACCGTGTATCCAGGTTCTTTACTAGAATTCAGAATTGCTCTCCGCCATGAGTGGAACAATTTTCCCTTAGCGTCCATCAAGACTTATTGGAAGCATGAGACGACGGAGCCAGGCTGTAATCGCATCTCATGGATCCCATAACCGCTATTGACAGTTGTTGTGTCAAGGTCAATGACTTGTTACATGGTAGCTGTCATGATCACCTGGAAGCCCCACCTTACCTGTCTATTACGTGTTAGTTTGGCCTCCTCCTGTTGTAAAAGGGTTGGAATAGTCCCAAATGACGTCATCATCGAACACCTGGCTGAACTCATTTCACAGGGATCAATGACCTTGTACTGAGCTGACCGTGGGAAAAATAATGTTATTAATGTTAACGGAACTTTCCCAGTAAGAGAAAAGATTTCAATAAGGGGTATGCTATTTATCAATTTACACTGAAGACATTTTCTTGTTCAGAATGAACATTGGATGGCGATTTCGTTTGCCCGGTCCAGACTTAGAAACTAACATTTACCTATTGAATAACTACTAGTAGATTATTAATAACTGTAGCGTTGATTCAACATCCACCACTGTCAAAGCACCCAAGCCAGAATTCGATGAGCCATATATTGATTCGATTGAGCCATATATAGGTGATTGAATTTATTACATAACACAAGACAATAACGTCAGCAGCACTGTGCATAACTATATTTTACAAATATGTTTAGAAATTATGGGAAGGGGGGAAGGTGGTAATTGAGTTTGTAAATGTCATGCAGGGGTGTTCACTTACTTAGCTCAAAATGATATTTGAAAAATTTGTGTGTGTGTGTGTGTGTGTGTGTGTGTGTGTGTGGTTATTCACACTGCATGCTTCTCCATAAAAATCATCATCCCCCCCCCCCAACCATAAATTATGAACGGCCCCTTATTAGGCCAAGACCCTGAAGAATCGGGTGATCACATATGTCAACCACCTATGCTACAGGTTCTATAAACGCGTTGTTATTAGGATAAGAGCGTGACGATCCGGGTGATCACATGTGACAACCACCTATTTCAAAGAGCTATGCACGCATATTATTAAGCTAAGTACAACATGAGTACAAACATCAACACTGTTATGTTGCTTGATATCCAATCCTTGTCATAATTCTTATTTTTGTCTCATTGAAGTTTAGAACAAAGCATGCAGTCGCTTTTATGTCATGATTCAGTGGCAGTATAGACATTGAGTGGGCAGTGGAACGCTTTCAACATTAATTGTCACAGATCGGCCGTCAGATGTCATCGTGGGCGGGACTGCAGGGTTGCACTGGAGCGTATTATCCTGGGGCATTTGTCACGAAGCAACCTTTACTAAGGTTAACCTTAACTCCCATTCTATAACATTGTACTAAGGTTACCTTAGTGACTTACGATCACCTCTGTGCTTTCTGAAAGGAGGCCTGGTAGATAATCTTGAATCTGTTCCCACAAGCAGGGAATGGTTGGAGCAAAGGGACATAACTCTGTAGAGACAATTGCACGGATGAACCATCTGTTCAACATTGTATACTGATATACGTCTACCAGTATCGCCACATGGGAAGTTACCTGAGACGAAATCTAAATACTATAAGCGGTTATTAGAATGAAGATCCACTGTTTCTTGTAGAAGATTAATATCACTGTACGTGTTAATATTGCATTGTTGAAGAAGTTACTAGTAGTATATATACTCATGCCAATAATGGTTGTCACCCCCTTCAATTTATTTTATTGGAGAGGGGGTTTGGGGTGGGGAGGGCGGTGACAACCATTATTGGCATGAGTATATATTATTACAAACTACGTTTTCAATATTTTGAACTGTTGGTCGTCATTTTACTGTTACTATCAGATAAATAAGTAGAAAGGAAGAACATCGTCTACTAGAGATTTAGAAAAAACAAACTGATTCACTAGTACTGTGACATATCTACCGCAGCATCGTGTCAGGAAAACATTACATTAACTGACACTCAAATGGTTTTATGATCAATGTATTCACAATGCGTGAATCGCTTATCTAGTTTCGCCCGGATTCATGCGCATTTCGCTCAAGGTAAGGTGAGTGAGTATGATTTTACGCCGCTTTTAGCAATATTCCAGTCATATGGCGGGGGGACACCAGAAATGGGCTTCACACATTATACCCATGTGGGGAATCGAACCCGTGTCTTCGGCGTGACGAGCCAACGCTTTAACCACTAGGATAAAACTCCGTCCCTAACAAGGTAAGGTGTTAAGATCATACCCTTGTCGCGGGTTTCACCAGATCGGTAAACGTCTGAGGACTTGTTTCTATTTGAGGTTTGTTCTGACTACACCAGCTGTAATTTTTTTAAATTTCACTCTCACTCACGCACTCACGCACGCACTCACGCACGCACTCAGGCAACAGTTACACAAAATGAACTACATCACCGCGTCTATTTTTCAAACTATGACACTTTTGAGGACAGCCACAATAATCACTTACGGTTTTACGTTTTCTGATAAGACAATTGCACTTTCTCGGTTATTTTAAGACAAGAAGCTAAGAAAAGAAATGTACATGCTCAGCCCCAACGAGTGATCAACTATCACGCTCAAACTGCATTCTATTTAACGTTACACATACGTGGGGCCTTCCGGTAATCGTATTCTCGTCCACATTAACAACTGTTCCTGGATCGAGTGGTCGGACTCAGCTATTTGTTTCTTAGCGTTTCATCGTACCCCGACATCGTGATGCATCTCTCATAATATCCATCACTGGTTTGTAATGACTTGTCGTCGGTTCCCAATAGCGCAGGTCCATGCTCATGCTGTTGATCACTGGATTGTCTGGTCCACATTCCATTATGTACAGACCACCACCATATACCTGGAATAGTGCGGCATAAAACTAAACTTACTCACTGTAATGACCATCGATTCAGACTCAGCTGTTTGTTTCTTAGCGTTTAATTGTACTCCGGCATGGGCGGTGGGGTAGCCCAGTGATTAAAGCGTTCGCTCGTCCCGCCGAAGACCCGAGTTCGATTGCCCACATGGGTACAGTGCGTGAAGCCCATTTCTGGTGTCCCCCGCCGTGATCTTGCTGGAATATTGCTAAAAGCGGCGTAAAACTAAACTCGCTCACTCACTCATTCGTATCTGGCATCGTGAGACGTTTCTCACAATATCCATCACTAGTTTGTGATGACATCGATTATCAACAGGCTGCCGTCATATGGTTAGAATGGTGACGGCAATAATGAGTAGATGCAAAACAAGAACACTTCTGTCTTTCCTCCAGCATCAAGCTAACACTTTACCTGAAATACTTACCAAGGGACCCGTG